TTAAAATTCATATAAAAAAGAAGAGTAGATAACTCGATTTTAATCGAATTCTGCTTGGTTAACTTTTTTATTGTCATAACGCAGCGGAAATAAACTTGTAAGTTACCAGGATGTTTTTTACAGGAGTATATATTTAGTTTTACTATATTATTAACCATGGAAGTTTGAGAACTTGTCAAACCGGAATTTATTGCCACGGAAAAAAAAAACACAAAACGTTAACCATATTTTTTTTATTAATCCAAATTGAAATACAAAACAATTACATAATAATTTTTTTCTAATTAATTTAATACATTTATACATATATAACAAAATTGTAACTAAACCGATTATGTACATTAAATATTTTTTGTAAAATCTTATTGAAATAAACATTATTATCGATACAGAGGCCGAATCTATAGTTTTTAGAATATTTGTCTGTCTGTCTGTTACCGCATCATAGAAAAACCAATGGAGGGATTTTGATAAATTTGATATGGTGATAGCTGGTTATCCAGGTCAACATAATATAGGATATTTTTTACCGCGGGAAAATGTCTCATTTCTGAGAAAAAAATACAAAAACTGCAATGTAAGAATATACTAATATGTAAAACCTAAGAATTTGCTTTTTGGTCATCTGAACGCGGACGGCGCCGCAGGCAATGCTAGTATTTCATAAGAATGGCTTGTATAGAAATTCCGTAATTTCTATTTTTCTATTGTCGAATTTTCAATAGGCTTTAACAATAACGTTGAATAAAATGTTACCAAGCACTGGACCATTCACTAGCCGTATGTCTTAACTTGTTACTGTAATATCTTAACAACGCCTTCAGAGCGAGTCCATCATAGAGCACCAAAATATTACGTGCCGTTTCTCAAAGCACCAGTTCCAGTCTGAGAGTGCATCAGAGTGCACGTTGTTCCTATCGACTGAAAATTATATTGGCGGGATTTTTTTGACAAGTAAGCTATTTTTCTATTACGCTCTAATATTCAGTAAAATATATTTTTTTCCTTAAATTTTTTTAATTTAATTTTTATGTTGCTGTGCGAATATATATTTTTTATTATTAATTATTCAATGTTAAATATTATATAGCATAGCGATTTCCGGTCGCGGGTGACATTGATAACAAAGGCAAGATCACCTTTTCTTTTTTTAACTTGCATATCTACCTATCTCAATAATGTTCATGAGAAAAAACCCAAGGTGTTTTAATTTATACATCTAAAGATTAGTTTAAAAAGTGTAGCAGTGAAAATAGAGTCAGTACAAAATGAAAGTGTGTTATTTTAAAATTTCCAAAATAGTGTTTGTTTCTAAAAGATGCATTCTGTATCGAAATAAAATATTATAATAAGTAAGTAAAGCTTTACATTCTTACGGATAAAAAGAATTTACAAACAATAATGTATATGTGAATTATTTTAATTAAATTCTTATTTTAGAGGCATTTTATTTTTCTATTATTATTTTCAGTTATTATTATTTTTAAATAATTTATCTAAAATAAAATAGCTATTTTTTAATTTCCTTCTAGTTAAAGTCAATTCTTGTAGAGGATAATTGTTCGCAGTTTTTATATTGAGTTCCAAAGACAAACACTAAAAGTTTTATTTATGAGATTTTATTTTAGAGTTATAAGTTATAAAGTTCATTCCCCGCCCCCTATACAGCTCTCTGACAGACGGACGAACGGACGATAGCGGAGGCTTAATAGGCTTTGATAGCGTTCCGTTGGCACACTTCGGGTACGGAAGTCTAAAAATAACAAATTAGTAGTTTCGTAAAGTCGGTGTGCTTTGATTTGTATCAGCTGGCACCAATTTCAATAAAAACTTAATAAAAAAAACGACTTCCAGGCACTAAAATGTAAAAAATAACTAAACGAAGGTTTTAATTTAGAATACATACCTAATCAGATATTTTCGAAGTCGGTGCCAGCCGATACAAAGCAAATCTAATATATTTCGATACGTAAAATACATATTTACATGTCTTAAAATATTGTAGGCTGGCACCTGGCACAGATTTTTTACATTTTAGTGCCTGGAAATCGGTTTTTTTAAGTTTTTATTTTTCAATTTTTATTGTAAACGTAATAAGTAGGTAAGACGAAAGTTCTTTTATAACATATTTGATTTAACAATTTATTTATTGGTTAGTTTCTGTTTGTCATTACAGTAGTTTCTACAAATAAATTTTGGATGGCTCTAATTGTTTAACACCTCCAGGTAAACTTCTAAAAAATAATTAAATTTCTAAAAAACCTATTGTTAACTGGTGGGCACAAGTCTCCTTTCAACACGAGGGAGATCAGGCCATAGCCCACCACGCTGGCCTATATGCGGGTTCGCGGACTTCACATGTCTTTCGAATACTTGCTAGGTTCTCTTAGACATGCAGATTTCCTCACGTTTTCCGTTTCTATAAGACAAGTGACATGAAAATATCAGAGGTGCGAGACTCGGGATTTAAACCCGCTTCACTCGGTCTCCTAAGCGACCGCGTTACCACTGGGCTACTGCTGCCCATACGTCACTCATGCATGATATAACCAATCTAATATTTCATTATAAAAGATAATTTACTTTATATAATTTAAAGTTTTGATGCTCTACATTAAATAAGTAGAACATATTATCACATAATTGTTAGCAATGTAGTAATTTACGATGTAACATCGCTTCTACAGAGTAATCACTGGCGTATTGAAAAAAACGGTAATGTAATGCATTGATACGCATCTGACGTGATAGAGGTTAGCGAGTCTTTTTTACTAGGGAATAAGCTGTTTTATAAATGCACTTTCGAACATATATATTCAGAGCTTATAAACCATTCGTACACCACATATGTGTATCAAACATACCTACTCAAGATTCTTTTGCAATATTTTAAAGCTTTGTATGCGTGTAATTAAATTAAACCTCATTATAAGTGTTCACATGTTTCTAAAACCAAACGTTATGTATTGTGATGTGATTTTATTGTTTTTAACTGTTATTGTGATCGTGTTTTATACATGGCATATAATCTGAATTAATATCACGTGAAAGTTTGTGAGTATGGATATCTCTTACTCTTTCACGCCAGAACGGCTGAACGGATCGGGATGAAATTTGGCACAGGGATAGTTCAAAGTTTCGAATAGCATCTAAGCTTCTTTTCATTCCGAAAAATGTACAGTTTCCGTGGGATTGGTTTGTTTTTGCTTTCCTAGAGGAAAACCCGAGCGAAGCGAGGGTGTGCCGCTACTCTATACTAATATAATAAAGACGTAAATAAATAGTTTGTGAATTGGGAGTTTGTGAGTTTGTGACGTTGTAGGGGGTAATCACTGGATCCTGGAACCGATTTAGATGAAACTTGGTAAGAAGATAGTTTGAGACCCTCGGGAGGACAAAGGATTTTTAATCTTTTTTTTGCTTTTTATCCTGGAAATCATCCCATAAGGGGGTGAAAATGTGGATGAAAGTTTGTATAGGGAATAAACCTAGGGACGAAGCCGAGCGAAGCGAGGGTGAGTCGCTAGTATATTATAAATGTAAAATTCTGTTGATCTCTGACCGAAACGGGGCGATGGATTGATGCATGTTTTGTATGGAGATAGTCAGGGAGCTGTAGAGTGACATAAAATACTTTTTACCGCCAGAAGAGATCTCATTCATAAAGTAAAACATGTTATAATAAAACACATGTATGTACCTATTAGGAGTTTCAACTGATATATAAGTATAGTATTATAGTTTTCTATACGTAGGAGGTCAGAATCCTCTTGAATTACATAGCTCTGCAAAAGCATAATAAGAAGGTAACTTCACTCCACACCATACCTTACTAGTTTATTATAACTATACTAGCATTGCCCGCGGCTCCACCCGCGTTCAGATGATTAAAAAACCAAATTCTTAGGTTTTACATATTAGTATACTCTTACAATGCAGTTTTTGTATTTTTCTCAGAAATGAGATATTTTCCTGCGGTAAAAAGTACTCTATATGTTGACCCGGATAACCAGCTATCATCATACCAAATTTCATCAAAATCCCTCCAGTGGTTTTTCCGTGATGCGGCAACAAACAGAGAGACTGATAGACACACTGACAGACAGACAAACAAACATTCTAAAAACTATAGATTTGGCCTAAGTATCGATAATAATAACTATTTCAAATAGATTTTCCAAAAATTATTTAATGTACAGATTCGACTTAGAATTTTATTGTATGTATAGATTAATTATATATTGATCTATATTTTCTTAGTTACAAATGTAATGTAAAACAGTGCTTAGATACCTAGTATCAACCCAAGAACCAACCATGTTGAAATTTTGAATAATACCTTTTATATACATTATTCATATTATATTAAATTGGACAATTCATTACTTAAACATACAATGTGTCTATATCTATAAATTAGAAAATTTGTATGTTTAAAATAATCCGATAAAAAAACAGTGGATTCCACTGATAAAAAAACACCGTAACTCTAATATGGTACGTGACCCTCTCATTACGACCCGAATATTCGCCATCCGCCGCCGAACGCCATCGTAATCGTAGTCTTGAGAGTGGGGTTCAAATATTAAGATTTATGTAACTATGAAAAATTATAACATTACCCAAGCATCCATTGCAACGGCGGTCGGTTGCCTAACGTTGCGTGAGACAGTGGGCACAAAGCTCTTAGATCAGATATTTCTCTATGCTTGCTACATTCTGCAGGTCTAAGCGTAAATAAATATTTTGCAAGTCACTTATGAAATTGTACAGGTACATTATCTGCCAGGCTGTCATAAAATACGAATACACTTGGTTAGTTAATACGTAATTAATGGGTTTGTTAAAGTGCAGCTGCTAGTCTATCGTTTGTGATGGTGCTTATTTGTTGATTTTTAATATTTTGACTACCTCATAATGTTAATAGTTTTACATAGGTTTCCGACATTATTAAGAGGGTAATTATATGGAAATTGATATATTTTACTTTTCAGAACAAAATGTCGACTCCAAGAAGACTAACTAAGCGTTATTTGACTCCTGCGGAAGAATATATATGTCCGCTCTCCGCAGAGACTCAAGCCATAGCAGAGGAACAACTGAGAGAAACAGAGAATTCTAGGTCACAGGCGTTGCAAGCTTTAAGGAGCTGGATGGAACAGAATCCTAAGTTCGCTGCAATCAGAATGGGCAAGTTTATTATAATTAAATAGTACTTTTCATTTATCTATAGTTACAAAATCGATAGTAGACTGTCTTTCGCCTCTCCTCTTGATATGAAATTCAATGAACTAAATAATGTGACAACTATGTGTATCATATATATATATATATATATATATATATATATGTATAGTTCGCTCGCTTCGATTAGTGGATCGGGACTAAGTGACCTAGATATCTTGTAACATACAAACATACACCTGACAGTCAGGTTAGTTACATGTATTTGTATTCAATATAATAATCAAAACTTCTCAAATACGATGCAGCTGGCATACCAAACTACGATAATAGCACTAGGTGTATACAATAGAAAAGATAATATGTGTAAAGTATACGTGTAACATTATAAACAGATGCGAGCTTTCTTCTCCGTTATTTACGCACTAAGAAATTCAGCGTCCCTATGGCTCAAGAGGCAATCGAGCGCTACATACTTCTCAGACAGTCCTGGGGTATTGCATTCAACCAACTGGACTGGACTTTACCCATAATGACCGAACTCATCGATTTGGGGTAAGTTAATTAATTTAATGAAGGAATAATATATATTAAATTAGTATAATCTACGTTTTATTATAACTATCTGTTACGTGCGGCATCGCCCGCTTTTATATTTATTTTATGGAAGCTTTAATAAGAGTTTGTAAAGCAAGGGGCTTAACCTTTTCGTTTTCGATACAAGTGCGATAAAATAAAATTACCTACATTTTGAACTCAAGCTGTACCTACTATATAAATATATATAGCATAAGTATAAAATCATCGTGTTCTATTAAAATCTGTCTAGCTGGGCTAAAGACTAGATTTACTAGACTAGTGTACCTATTGTAACATGAGGTAATATGATTTGTAACGAGCATAATATATAAGTATAGATATTACATTAGATTATAGATCGAATATGTATCGATTGTACAGTCTCTCGCTTGGTCTCGCAAGTGCAATACGCACTTCAATAAACGCTTAATATTAAAGCTTTATTATTTTCTCCTCACGTCCGCCACATATTGGTGACCCCGACTGAAAAAAAACACCTGACTGAAGAACAAATATAGGATGGCTACCAATTCTAAACCAGTCGTACAAGCGAAGGAAAATTTACGTGAAGATTCAGAACTGGCAACAATCAGCGTATCATCGCGAATACCGGAATTTTGGTGCGACCAGCCGCGATTATGGTTCGCCCAGTGTGAGGCGGTGCTAGCTTCTCAAAAATTAGGCGATGAAGCGAAGTTTAACTTGTTGCTTCCGAAATTGGGCAAGCAAGTCATCGAGCAGGTTAGCGATATTGTCCTTAATCCACCAGAAAAACATAAATATGAGACCTTGAAAAATCGTTTGCTCGCTGTTTACGAAGAATCGGAGAACCGACAGTTCCAGAAGTTGCTGGGGGAAATGGAACTTGGCGATCAGAAGCCTTCTCAGCTTCTTAGGCGAATGCGGGATTTGGCTCGTAATAAGATACCTGATGAAACGCTGTGTATCATGTGGCAAGGACATTTACCCACGTCAGTTCGAGCGGTGTTGGCAGTTAGCGAGGTAAAGGATCTAGATAACCTTGCAGCTATCGCTGACAAAATTATGGAGACCACGAGACCTTTACATGCTGCTGAAGTAAATTGTCAAGCTGAAAAATCGGATGATACGTCATTTCTTATGTCGCAAATAGCCAAGTTAAGTGTGAAGGTCATGGAACTTGAGAGATCGAGACCAAGGTATCGAAGTACTCGATGTAATTGGAGGCGACGTACTACATCACGCGGACGTTCAGTATCCGAACAACGACGCCGCAGGTCCGAATCTTCGAAATGGCTATGTTTCTATCATCACCGTTTCGGCGTTAAAGCAAAGAAATGTGTTGAGCCATGTGCTTGGAAAGAGCAGCCGGAAAACTAGACAAGGTGCAGCCAAGGGTGGATGTCTGCACCATATCGCCGTTCCACCGTTTATGCGTAACCGACTGCAAAAGTGGTTTACGTTTTCTTGTGGACACAGGTGCAAATATTTCAGTGTTACCGTACAAAAAACGACTCTATGACAATGTAGTTAGTGATAAATATAAACTTTATGCAGCTAATGGCAGTGAAATAAAGACATATGGTGTTAAATCGTTAGTGTTAAATTTAAATTTACGCCGACCTTTTCGGTGGACTTTTGTGTTAGCGGACGTTAAACAGCCAATTTTAGGCGCAGACTTTTTAACCTATCATAAGCTTATAGTAGATTTATATCGTCGTCGACTTATTGATCAAATAACAAATATAGATACTATAACATCGATAGTGCAACACGATGAGTCATCTATTACTACGTTGGATATAAATAATAAATATTACGACTTAATGTTAGAGTATCCCGATATAACGAAACCTATTTGTTTCAAAGATACACCAAGACACTCTGTTGTTCATTATATTGAGACTACAGGACCTCCTGTATTTGCGCGACCCAGACCTTTAGCTCCGGACAAATATCATAAGGTAAAATCGGAATTTGAAATCATGCAAGACGTAGGCATATGTAGACCATCGAAGAGCTGTTGGGCAAGTCCACTCCACGTAGTCCCGAAAAAGGATGGTGGTATTAGACCATGTGGTGATTACAGGCAATTAAATGCCATCACTAAGCCTGACAGGTATCCGATTCCACGCTTACAAGATTTTACATATTTACTTTCGGGTAAAAAGATATTTTCGAAGATCGATATAACACGTGCCTATCATTTCATTCCCATCAATAGTGAAGACATAGAGAAGACAGCCATCACTACGCCATTCGGTCTTTTTGAGTTCCCAAGGATGACGTTTGGGCTAAGAAACGCAGCTCAAACATTTCAGAGATTTTTAAATAACGTCGTACTTCAAAATCTTAATTTTATTTTTGTATATATCGACGATGTAATAGTAGCGTCGAAATCTGAATCCGAACATAAGGAACACCTCAGACTAGTATTTGAGCGATTTAATAAATATGGCTTAACTATTAACACTTCAAAATGCAATTTTGGGCAGAACGAAATCGAGTTTCTGGGATACCACGTTTCGAAAGATGGTATTAAACCCTTAGAACAACGAGTTAGCTCTATAATTAATTTTCCTAGGCCTAAAACAATCGAGGAACTCAGACGTTTTTTAGGTATGATTAATTTTTACAGAAGACATCTTCCTCAAGCAGCAGAGATTCAGTCAAAATTAAATATATTTTTACATAACTGTAGAAAAAATGACAAGACAGAAGTCAAGTGGACAGATGAGTCAATTGCGGCATTTGAACAGTGTAAGGAGAGCCTAATCAGCGCCGTTACACTATCACACCCAGCTGCAGACGCGAATATAGCCCTTATGACGGATGCGTCTAAGACTTGCATTGGCGCAGTATTACAGCAACGTGAAGGCAACACATGGAAGCCTTTAGGATTTTTCTCCACTAAGCTGAGCGAAGCGCAAACGCGATATAGTGCTTTCGATAGAGAATTACTTGCTATCTATATGGCTATAAAGCATTTCAGATATTTGATTGAGGGACGCCCCTTAACAGTCTACACAGATCATAAACCACTCGTTTATGCTTTGAAAAAAAATTCTTATACAGACAGCGATACACCGCGTCGATTAAGACATTTCGATTTTATAATGCAATTTTGTTCGAATATTGAACATATTAGTGGATCTCAAAATATTGTTGCTGATACGTTATCACGAATTTCGGAAATTAATATGCCATCATACATCGACTACAATGCTCTTAGTGAAGCTCAGGAGAAAGATAAAGAATTACAAGTTTTATTAAAATCTAAAAATTTATGTTTTAAAAAGTTTCAACTTCATAACAGTCAAGAATCAATTTACTGTGAAGTTTCAAAACAATTCGCACGACCATATTTGACTAAAGAATTCCGAGTGCAGGCTTTCAACGCCGTACATGGATTGAGTCATCCGAGTATAAGATCAACTAGAAAGATGATATGCGATAAATTCTTTTGGCATTCTATGAACAAAGATGTTACTAACTGGGCTCGAGCATGTATAGATTGTCAGAAATGTAAAATACATAGGCATACAATATCACCTTTTGGTAAATTTCCCACAAGCAATCGTTTTGAACATATACATATTGATATTGTTGGTCCATTACCACTTTACAAAGGATACAGATATTTAATTACGATGTTAGACCGAGCCACGGGTTGGCCGGAAGCTTTTCCCTTAAGAGACATAACAGCTGAGGCTGTTGCAGAGAAAATATATTCAGGATGGATTTCACGTTTTGGTTGTCCTTTACGAATTACGACTGACCAAGGAAGACAGTTTGAGTCGAATCTTATCAATCAATTATCTAAGCGCCTTGGTATTATGAAAGCTCGAACAACTGCGTACCATCCACAGGCAAACGGTGCTGTCGAACGTTGGCATCGATCTCTTAAGGCATCGTTAATGACTAGAGGAAACAATAATTGGGTTCAGGAGTTGCCAACTGTGCTACTAGGCTTAAGAGCAAGCCTAAAAGATTGTACGCAAACCAGTGCAGCGGAGATGGTTTATGGCAGTCCAATTAAGCTACCCGGAGATTTTTTTGAGCCTAGTCTAAACGGGGTCGAAATTACAAAAGCCGAATCTAATCTTTAGCTCAGCTAGACAGTTTTATGAATTCGACCCCGTTTCATATATTTTTTACTTAAATAAATAAAAATAAATGAAATTTATTCATTTTAATATCTTAAATTTCTTTTTGGTTCATTGTTTTCGCACAAAATTGCTCTTTTCTCGTACTTAGTGATAAATAAAAAGTAGTAATACATTATTTTCTTTTAATAGTTCATTAATAGTTCGCTTAGCTTTAATAAATCTAAGAGATTTATTATTTCAAGCTGAATGATAGCAAGATCTTCCTGAAAATGGACATAACTGATTATAATCCATTGTCCATATAAATCCATTCAAAGTACCTACAACTATCGTGCCCGTAAATACCTTATCTTATGTTTTGCAGGTATATTTTTGTAAGCCCGTTCAAAGACAAATTGGGTCGCCGTGTGGTCATATACAGACCTGGTACGTAAAAATTCATTAATTAGAATTACCAAAAAATGTATATCTAAAACCTACTAAATACTTACGTAATAATTCTTATCAGACACATCAAAAACTATTCTGTAGTATTTCTATATTTGAAAATTGTTTATGAAGGAAAAAATGATAAAATAAATTAAAATAATCTGTATGTCTGTATAAATATTATAAATGTGAAAGTTTGTGAGTATGGATGTTTTTTACTCTTTCACGCTAGAACGGCTTAACGGATGTGGACGAAATTTGGCACAGAGATAGATTATAGTCTGGAATAACAATATATCGTAGGTAGGTACTTTTTATCCCAGAAAAATATACGGTTTCCGAGGGATAGATCTGTTTTGGTTTTCTAGAGGCGAACCGGAGTGGAGCGAGGATGAGCCGCTAGTATTAATATAAAATAAGTGTAAACACACAAAAAAGTGTAAAATATGATATTTTTTTAAATTAAGGAGAAGCATATTATTTTTTGTACATAAATATGTATAGGTATGTAGGTACATAGCTCTTCTGTATCGTTTGTATCGAATGATGAACGAACTTTCATGTTTTAGGTGTTTTCGACCCCTACAAATACACAAACCAGGACATGTGCCGAGTGATGGGAATATGTTATGAGACTCTGATGGAAGACGAGGAGACCCAGGTGCGGGGGCTAGTTCACTACGCAGATGGATCTGGTGTCAGCTTTCCACACCTCACGCTTTTTACTCCCAAAGAAGCTGTCAGAATAGTGAAGAACGGAGAGGTATATATTTCTTAAATCCAAATTTTATAGCTGTATTCTTTGAAACTGAGAGCAGGAATATAATTAATTATTAAATAAAAATAAATATAGAATTAAAACAAATGCCTAAAGTTAATTGATATATAAAATATTCTTTAAGTGGGTACTTAAACCATATAATGGTGACCTTTACGATGAAGTAGCGCGTTATCCAATAATAAGTTCGGGGGTCGAATACATTATGAAATATTGTACTGTCGATATCTATACATATAATAAAATTGTAACCAAGCCGAATCTGTACATTAAATATTCTTTGGTAAATCTTATTGAAATAGACATTATTATCGATACAGAGGCCGAATCTATAGTTTTTAGAATTTTTGTCTGCATACATACATAGACTGATAAACACATTACCCTCAGAGCAGTCGGGTAAAACGTTATTTTGACATTACAAACAGACATTTCAATTTTATTTATCTTTATAGATATTATATAATGTCACTAAATTGTAATTTCTAACCCCAATCTTAACATATAACAACCTTATTCCAGCGCACTATACCGCTAAGACACAAGGAAATCTACGGAGTGAACGTTCATCCTACGATAAAATTCGCATTAGATTTTGGAATGGCGCTGATTTCTGAGAAAATAAGGAAGAGAGTGAAACTTTACACGTCGGTGGATGATGTAGAGATAGACAAAAGTTTACTGCCTCAGGAATACGGCGGTGTGATGCCTATGAAGGAAATGATAGGTAAGTAGCTATAACTATATATTTTGTGTAATAGTAAAACAATTAAAAAAATAGATTATCATTCTAATATTATAAATGCGAAAGTTTGTGTGTGTGTCGAGTACTTTTCGCTATAACCGTTCTACGAATTTGAGTGAAATTGGAATGAAAATAGTTTATATCTATTTTATTTTTTTAACGTTGGGATATGCATTTACACATACGACCCGCATACATAGCTTTGTTGGCTTTGGTTATCCGAGACTCATCAGGTAAAAAAGCCAGTAGGTACTACATAAAAACCCAACGGAAAGTCCCCCTGTCTTAATGGGATGTCGAAGCAGACCGCATCAATCAAGGGATGATTTTCAAAGTCCACTCTGCTATCACAGAAATACCAGGAACAATCCGCATGGTACACTCCTCACCGAAGTGGGCCACATCCCAGTGCGTCTTTAGGCTTTACGCAAGACTTGATTGGCAGACGCTTTTGAGCCAAAACAAAGTGAATACAAATTGGGGGGAGATAGCTCTTGCTCTGGCTACCGTTCAACACAGGCTACCGTTTATCGATGTATCACCGATAGGTATACGCCGACTACTAATATTCATAAAAACAACACGGAAATTCAATCTGGAAAAGTTTACTGGTGTTAATATGAATTACTGGCTCAAAAAGAGGTTCTACCCGGTTAACTTGTTATGGTCTTTTTCAAGTTTAATGTTAATTATATTTTTATATTACACGAAACTGTTTTTGTGGAAGTTAATGTGTAAAGAAGGCTAAGGTCGACTGGTATGTTGTTTTAAATGTTATTTTTGATTATAAATTAGATTGTACGAAAGGAATGGATTATACGATTGAGGAAATGAACGCTTTTAGGCAATATAATTAAAGATCAGTCTAAGTTAGCTAGATGAGACCATTTATTTTATACTAAAGGTGCGTTGTGATTGATAAATAAAGCGTCCGATCTAGTACTCGTAGTATCACGAATTCCCATAATATTTATACATTTTACGGCTCAAAGTTATAGATATCTGTATATACATAAAATGCTTTGCCCTGACTGACTGATCGATTAAAGCACAGCCTAAACCACTGGTCGTAGAAACGTGAAATTTGGAGGACATATTCCTTATACAATGTAGGCATCCGTTAAGAAAGGATTTTTCGAAATTCATCCCCTAAGGGAGTAAAATAGGGGATAACAGATTGTATGAAACTCTGTCATTCTGAACGCTTTGCACGGAAAATTATACGTACCTATTAGATTTTTTTCGAAATTCATCCCTTAAAAGGGTAAAAGGGGGTTGTTTTGCTGTTTATATGAGGAAAAAACTGTTTATATCAGAGTTACTTGATACTTGGTATTACTGCTCTTCAATACAATCTAATAAACATGTATTGTAGTTTTTTTTTAATTCAGCCCCTAAGTGGGTAAAACTGTTCGGTGGATTTTGATTTGTTGAATATATTTAAATACATGGCTCAAGTTCTCTGCAAGTGCACACTTACTATGTGGGATATAAAGTAGAGAACGGGAATTATTCTGAATCCAAAGGAAAATTATGTATAACTTTTCGGCTGGTCACAGTAGCGACAACTATAACAGACGTAGAGCGCGAGAGAGAGAACCTAGCTAGACAGTATCCAGCTATCTATAACCTCCTTCTGAAGGTTGGCATATCTGCAATAAAAAACTCGCCTATGCTACATAACGGGATCATCTATCGGGATCTACATAAGAGTACATTTATACTTCATTAAGCATTATAGTGGCTACTGTGTTTGCTGAATGTGCTCGGAGGGAATCTGAATTCATACCTCGAGTACCACTGATAACTTCTGACTAAGCCTTTGAATTTAATCTATTGTAATTCCTTATTAAAGTTTGATTTGCAATATCCTGTTATACATCTCAGGGCCAGTCCTTTAAAAATAAAGTGGATGTTAGCCTGTTAGTATGTTAGTTAAAAAAACCATATTAGCCGAGTTATGTACATGATTCTAAAGTCGTAAACTTTGTATGCGATTGTATCATTGCTCTTCCTCTAATTTTGGAAAGATGGAATAAAAGAATGTGCAAAAAATACAGGTAGTGAAGCTTGCTAAATACCTAAAGTGTATTTTCAGAATATACGCTTAACATTTTATTTTATTTTAATTAGGATCTCCAACAAAAGATACACACAATATACAACATCATATAAAAACAAAAATCAAATAAGACTCACAATACGTGTGCTACTTCACTTATAGGAGATCACAGCTTGCTCATTAATGTATTTTACGTTATAACTAAGTTAAAACTAAGAAAAAATTAACGTCTAGAGACAAATCTGAAACTAATATAGAGATACAAAAAAAAAGAAACAAGTCATATTACAACACATTTAAACATTTCTACTAAAGTTACGATAAGAATTTAGTAATACTACTTTTAAATTCAAACATATTAGTGCAAAAGATATCTAATTCAACATGTTGTTTAGAAATCGTATTGTACTGTCGACAGATCCTTGGAATAGGGGCGTGATATCTGAAATTCGTTTTGCATCATATCAACATCTTTTAAAATACTGGATATTTTGAGTTACGATCGCTAAAATTAAATTTGTTTTCCATATATCTTTAAGAAATAATAAAACTCACGCGAATTTAATTTTGCAAGTAATAAAGTATGTATTGCGAAAAATTTATTTTTTCGTAGTTTGGTTGGCCGCGGGTTTTGCTAGTGCGGAATAAAATTAATAGTCCAGCCACAAAAGGTTTATATATATAAATGAAATTTTACTAAACTCTTAAATTAAATATATAAAAAAAAACAACACAATAACCTATTGATTGAGGCCATTTCAAAGAGTCTAAACAAGGTATCTCTGCAGTATTTCGGTAAGAGTTGAGAATCTTGCAGATTCCAATTGACGCTACAGCACCAGACCACATCATTGCAATATAATTAAAGTAACGGAATACCAAATTTCGAATCGATTAAATCTGTGGCAGTTGTTCATATCCTTTTACCGCCTAGAAAAGTGCTGATAGCCTGCTAACAGCTGAACGAATTTTCTTGATTATATAGCTAACAACACTCTCCATCAAGTCACCTTTCAAACAAAAAAAACTAAATCATAAAAAATAATAAAACAAGACTTCAAAACACTAAAAAGCAAAAATAACTGATTGATAGTTTTCGTTTACTATAGATACCTAATAAGATCTTTTCGAAATCTTGTAACATAATTTCCAAAAAAATATTGGGCTCGTCGAATGAAACAAAATAAGCCCAGAATCGAAGTATCTTCTATTAGCCGTTGTAGAGTTCCACTATCCACCTTCTTGCCTTACCATCAGATCAGATCGACGATACCGAACCACTGCACTATCAACGGAAATTTAAGTCAATATGACAATTAGAAGTAGATTAAATTTTCGTTAGCTATTACTATATTTATCCTTAGAGGTGGTATTTTATTTCAAATTTAAATGGGACCAAACTGAAAGTATGTACATACACTTTCATACAAAACAAAAAAAAACTAATCGGTTAATATATTGCAGATTTCTGACGTAATAAACAAAAAAGTACAAGCGAATTAAGAACCTCTTCCTTTTATTGAAGTCGCTTGAAAATGAGTTCATCCGTTTGGGCGGTATTATGCCATATAGATACACACGTACAACTTATAACTCCTCTCTTTTTGAGTCGGGGGTTAATAAATGTAACATTCGTATTACATCAGCCTTCATAAATAAAAATCAATTTTTCTTAAAATTGGAGGTCTATATAAAATGTGTACGTATTTTGTGATATCTGCATAAAATATATTTAACTTATTCCTGTTAGAAATTGTGTATATTGTGTATATACCTATTAGCGACTCAAACTCGCTTCGCTCGGTTTCTTTCCTAGCTTGCTTCCCCATACAAGCTTTCATCCCCATTCTCACCCCTTAAGGGATTATTTCTGGGATAAAACTATTTCACTCACTCACTTTTCATATCATGAGATATAAAAAGAATATTATTTTAGTAAAAACTTCTTTTTATTTGGCCTTCTTGACAATAACAAACAAAAAAAAGAATTATCCGATATGCTGCAGTCGATCGGAAGTTATGCGCGTACATATGTACATTTCGGTAATTCATTTTTATTTATATAGATACACAATTTGTAGCAAGAACAAATTATCTATACTAATATTACAAAGAGGCAGAGTTTATTTGTTTGTTTGTTTGAACGCGCTAATCTCAGGAACAACTAATCCGATAAAAAATATACCTACTTTACCTTAACTATAACATTTAACTAAATTCCAGAACTATGGAAAGTGGAGTTAGCTCAGAAGCGCGACATATTGCTTTTGAGCGACAAAATGGCTGTGAGGCTGGAGATGTATAGTGAAGCGGCGCGAGAGGGCGCAATATCTGCACTACGAGCGGGCGCCAACACATGCGCCGGCGCAGACGCTGTGGGCGACGCTATGCGAGGACTCACTGGCAACTTCAGAAAACTAGAAGTTGATTGAAATCATACTTTTGTTTTTTTTTTTATTAAAGTATTAGGAATAGAATAAAACTAGGATTTAATTATATATGATAAAATTTCGATGTGCATAATATGAATAAGTTAGCATAAGTAACTATTATAAGGCTGAACTATGTAGAAATAAACACGTTTGTGATAAGATTTCGTGTAAACCTCAATTTTATTTACTTTTATAATAGAAACAATAAAAAAGTAATAAAAAGGAAGTGTTTTAATGAAAATCCTGTATCTGTCAATTTATTTATTAAAATCTCATCAACTACCTAACTGGCGGAAATGAGAACACACGTTCCCACCGTGTTACAAAACAAACTTCATACCAACGTCACAACTTTATACTGTATGGCACATAGGAAGTTTTGGCATTTCACAATACTGTTTAGGCACTAACATAATGGTGTACAGACGAGCCGCCATCTTACCGACAACTAGTCGTAACTCTATTATTGCGTTCGTGGTACAGTCTTATATGTACTGTAATACATACTGTAAGGCATTGTCCGGTAGGTACATATATGTATCTTATTGTATAACAGATCTACGAACATTAGTGTACGATAAATACTTATTATTAATTTAATTAGACACGATATGCGTAGAAATAAAGATTATAATGAAATATTTTAGTTTCAATAACATGGTGGCTCGCTTTTAGGACTTATTTAACATAAAATCTTAATTTTGGCATAATTAGGAACTTTTATTTCAATACCAACATTAAAGTCCTAAAAAATCTCTTTTCAAAACTTATTATTCACTCTGATGTTACTTATTTGATCAACTATAAAATGCGTACAAACTCTACGGAGAAAGAAGCATGTAACTTTTATTATTGTTAAAAACATTGGCCACTACCGTCACGCTACTGCACAGTGTACCATGTACAGGTGCATTTCGGAGTCTATGGGCTACAATCACTCACATTGTTACTATTTTTCGCGGAAAAATTTCAAACCACTATAGGAAAGTCCAACTAGTATGTTTCATAACGAACTGAAATCCAACCCCCTTGCAATTATTATTTGAGAAAGCAAATTAAACTGTATTTATATCAATATGTAGATACAATGTGGTGTCTATATTTATGATACAATAATTGGCTAAACTCTTGATGATCTGTCATATATTACGTTTAAAAAAGTACATTTAAAGCTCTTCGATTTCAAAACGCAGAAACAGTAGAGAATGAATCGCACCTATAATATGTATAGTTAAGATAATAATATAGTAGTCTTAAATGTTATAATGAACATTGTACATTAACAATAAAAGATATTTATGACAAAAAATATAAAAAAATTATTACTTATTCTTTTAAATTATAATTCACATTGAAATACCTATAGAAATTGATTATCTTTTACTCAAACCGGGATTCAAAGCAATGGCCACCATTGTACTATAAGAATTAAAATAAAAAATGTCTTCCACGTCTATTTTATACCTATGTATAACACCAATTTAAATTAACGGATTCAAAATTGCATAAAAAATTCAAATTACTCTATGGTAAATACATTCTATTCTCTAAGTCTTTTAATCGATATAAAACTAATCTCACATTAAAATGAAGGCGAACATCGCAAGCCAGTCACTTGGGCCGGTGATGTATTAGTCTAAGATCCGAAGTTAGGTAGTCCGTTGCCATCTGCTTATTAAATAAATATTATATTAGTTTATACTAAACGTAATATATTTATAATATTTAAACACATTAAGAGGAGCGTATAAGAGTTTGCTTGCTATAACTCAAAATATGTATAGACTCCAGTATGGCCAAACCAACAACACATGCGACGGCATTGCTGGTACTTGCTTTTGGTGTAATATGAGAATGCTCGACACATCAACCAATGTTGATTATATTTTATGGCAAATCATCTGTTATATATTTGTTTACATATTATTTTTAATACAAAATACTTTTTCTCCGGTAAGCTGATAGGCGAAGACCGATCTTACTTCGGATCTTCTACTATATGGAACTATTGTAACGCGTCACAGTCGAACAAATGTATGGATAACTTAACCGTTAGTTTATAATAGCTATTTAAAACACCTTGTTTGTTTACTTATTACTATAATATATTCGTTTCTGTTAGTCAATTCCTTAAAAGTAATTTAGAACTCGTTTGCATTGTTGGATTATAAAAATGGATAACGAAGCAAAACAAATGGGACTCAATCAACAACTAGCAAGGACTATCTAAAAGAAATTTTCTCCAAAATACATGCGTACTAGAAAAAAAAAAACAAAAAAATATATAATAAATTTAAATAAAAAACAAGATTCTAATTTGATCAAACATCTATAAGTATATAATAGAACACACGCAACATGTCATAAAAATTGAAATAGAACGATTAAAAATGGGCACTTATATTAGCACAAACTTACAGTCTACTATTAAATATAACATACTTACAACAATAACTAGACATTATGCATAAATGTAATATTAAGTCGATTTAGTTTTGAGATAAAACTGAGTATTCTATATTCAACCACACGAGTAAATATCCCTGCATAGATAAAGCTTCATACAATCGCGCAAGGATAGGTAGATACTCTTTTAAGGCCCGGTCCACACTCTACAGTGCCGATCACGGTTCGTTTTCAGTCAGATTTCGGTCTGGTAAAGTATTTTTATAAGGATAGCAATGAGCGCATTCACACTATCAGTAAGAGTCAAGTTCCAGTCAAATCACAGTCCAGCAACGATTCTTTTGTAAATATACTTTACCAGACCAATATCGGACCGAGAACGGACACTATTGTGTAGATCGGCCCTAACTGTGAAGCGGTCGGTCATTACGATATCCGGCTCCAGCCGGAAATAACCGGTTTCGCCAAAGAGCAGTGTGTACGTGAACTCGTCGGTGAGCTGTCACCCACACATCCATCCGCCTTATGTAGTATCGTATATTCATATACATATTGTCGTGTCAGTGCTTATTTGTTCAAACGACCAATTTACCAACAGACTTTTTAATACTTATTGATTTTTAAATGTCAATTCTTCCCCATCTGCTTATTGAGTGAATATTAGTTTAGTATTAAACTTAATATATTTATTTATATACACAATAGACATTAAGGGGAGCGTATAAGAGTTAGCTTGCAAAAACTCAAAATATATATTTAATACACGTTTTATTTTAATAAAGTCGAAAAAATGTATTTGTGAAGTGAAACTTCTTTAGGATCGCTGTGATTTGAAAGTCGATGAAACGAAGATGCGACACTAAAAAGAGACAAACACATAAATATACCGGATTAAACCAGCGAAAAATGAAATAGATACATGGCCATGTTACCATAGTAACCGTTGTTATTGTCTGACAAATAAATAATATTATATTCTTTCCGTATATGACATTATATAAATATATAATTGTAATGTGCCTAATATGACTTATTTAATTATTGATTTGTTTTAATTTAATTGCGATATTTTCCAACGAAGTTTTACTTCAAATACACGTAAAGGTTACGCACCCATTGTTTTTGTGTTATATAAGTCTTAGAAATAAAAATTTGTTTTCAAAATAGTAGAAAAAACTCTCCACTGTAAAGTACAACAAGTATCGGTCGTTTGAACAACTAAGCTTATATATCTAAAAGCTAATATATCTGCGCGGTTATACGATGCTTTGTTCTCTATAGAGATATTTTCTAACACGACTCAACCTCGCCCATGCCTACACCATCTCAGGTAAAACTCGTGTGATACCGCCGGTATTGCTAGCTTATGAAGGCTTCAGTTAGCACTAGTTACAATCATACATATAAAAAAAATTGTATCTCTAGCGTATTTAGTCTTAAATAAGAATAATATAATGGTTGGCTGTCACTTTATTTACAACTTTGGCACATCCAATGGCGGGTGAATAATACAATAATATTTGGCAACATTTCTTATAGTATTTGTTTGTATACATACGTTAGGTGGAATTCGGATTTCAAATGCGTATACGGAATGGCTAATACGTTACTTATGTATGTAGATATTCTACTTAACGATTCAGTATAACGAGTTAAATTAGTATTTAAAAGTTAGTATTTTTGTAAGTCAATCTATGAAATTTAGTAAAACTTACAATGGGTATAGGCGATGTCCTGCATTACCTCTATGCTACTTTTATTTACGTACTACGAGAGAGAACCCGCGACCAAAAATGAGTATAATTATAATTTCCTTTTAATAAACAATCACAATCGTTGCCATAGAACATCTACATATACATTAAAAAAACAAATCTAATGACGCCGTGCTCCTACACAGTATGTTTTGTGACTCAATATGAATCGTCTGAGTGACTTTTAGCTTAAAATAATAAAAAAAATGTTAATACACACAATATATCTTATTCTCAATTATAAATAACATAAGTCTATATAAGTACACTCAAAGACGCGTCAGCTTGCGTGATTTGTATGCTATATAAGTTATACTAATTAGTACTATGTTAAAGTATACCTTAGTATTAAATATTAATATTTGGCAATAAAATTTCACATTTACACTCGATTCATAACAACTGCCTCAAAAGGCCCGAACTATTGATATTCCTACATAACTTTTAGAACTTTTAACTAAGTTTATGACAATTCGATGCTCTTATCAAGAACTAGCAATATGACTGCCAGCATAATTATAATTGGTGTATTTTTAATAATACTGAGCACAATACTCGTAGGTATTGAAGTGAAGAGAGGTAAAAGATCATCGTAATTTTTTCTTGAAAAGAATTTGTAAGTCCTTTTGTAAAATGCATTTCAGTTAAATTGAAGTCGGTATAGTATCGCAAAGTGAAACCATTGTAATATGAATGTTTCATGCAAGGGCGATATAAATAGTCCTATTTATTGTACAATATTCTCTTACTATTTGTTATTTTATGATATTCATTTATTTTATTTATGAGAATCGTTAACAGTTTCTATAATTGAAACTAAAGTGTGACTTCACAGCTGGCGTATTTGGTGACTTTGTAGTTACTAAGCAGGAAGGGCGTCGGCACCAATTCGATGCCGCGCCTCTGCGGCCGGCGGCCCAGCGTCACGCAGTTGTGATGACTTGTGAAAGTTGCTGGAATTACAAGGATAATTTAAACAATATAAGGAACTTATACAATAAAATCACAATAAATGACATACTTATTGTAATACTTTCTAAGATTTACGTGAATACTTGTCACTTTATAATAAAACTATCTTTTCAGATTTTTTCGCAGATTTATTTGGTGGGTAGATGATGCTGCCTGTAACAACTATATAATGACCTCTAAGGCATCTAAAATCTTAGTCTCTTCCGTGACAATGATTACTGCAAAGCATACAAAACGTCGGGAATCAAATTGTGGGTAGGCTGTCTGTAACAACTATAATACCTTCAAGATATGTAACACCTCAGTCTCTCCCGTGACCATGGATGCTGTAAAGCATTCGAAACGTCGGGAACCAAAAATCAAAATAAATCCGCGAAATAATACGAAAAGATAGTTTTATTTAATAATGTCAAACATTCGCGTGAATCTAAGAAAGTATTATAGGTTTTCAATTAATATTTATTTAGTGTTTGAGAAGTGTGTAAAAATAAAAGTGCGTTCAGCATCCGGTGGAAATATAGCTTTCTATTAGGGAAAGAATTTAAAAACTCGGATCAATAGTTTCAGAGATTACATTTGTCTACATACAAACTTACAAACTTTACCTTTTATATTACCTAGTCTATATAAGGACAATACTTATACTGTATTCGCCGAATGAACCAAGCACTGAAATTTTGAGCTACCACGTGATTAGTTGTAGATAAGACGCTTAGGCCGCGATTACAATGCGAGTCATAATTAGTCCGCCGTTGCATTACGTACCGTTAGATATCTCTCGTCTAGTTACCTGATTTATTATCAATGTAGATGACATTGATACGTCGGAAAGTGAAAATTAATAAATAATGTATATAAATATTCAAAAATACAGTAAATTTTACTTTAATGTTAATTTTTCTCTAAAACATTAGCAACATGAACGAGCCCTAATGATTTCAAACCAGTTGCAAGCGTTAGTGGGCGGAGCTAGACAGTTTTCTGTCCTTATCAGTTTGTATGCTAATGTGGGACAGAGAAAGCGCTTTGCATGGTTCACTCCGTGAACAGAGTATAGACATTTCATCTGATAATACACTAACATTGCCTGGGCGTCCTCGGCAGCGTGTAGGTGTCCGCGGGTCAGACCCAGTACTGGTTGCGTCTAAGCATAGGGTTCGCGGGCGCCACGCCCGGCGCTCGCACCGGGTACGCAGACTCGCTCGCCTCGTAGCTACTCCAATCTTCTGCCTGTTGGGAGTAAACTTTGTATAGAACTAGTGGTCTACAAAGCAAACGTGTGTAATAAAAACGACATGTTTAGCTGAGTTTGTAGTGACCTTGCTTGCTGTGCCAGCAGTCGCGGGTTCGAGTCCCGGTGGAGACATTCGTTAATGCGATGAGCATGAAAGTTTGTACTCCAGTCATGTGTGTTTATATTTATAATATGTATGTATTTTAAGTTTTATATATGTAGTGTTCCAAGTATCTGGTATCCATAACACAAGTCTTAGCTTACCATGGAACTAGATGGTGCTGTGTGTTAATGTCCCAATATATTAAAAATATTAAAAAAAAAATCTTAGCGACGAGGGATGATTCGTCTAATGTCACCAGCGCCATGCTACGGAGAAAATATCATAGACAACCAGAAAAATCATCTTTAATCTAAAATAAATATTTCCAATCTAAGTCTTTATATCCCTAGGTTATTATATCAAATATATATCAAAAACAAATATTCAGCATTAACTTATGACTACTTTTTAATGAACGTCACTTTACCTTGCATTCCTACACTTTATAGCATATAAACCATACTTATAAAATTTTCTAAGATGGCTAAATCTATGTTTACTTGAGTTTTTTTGACAGATGGATTAGTGTAAGAGTGGCATAAGGTTTTATATTGGTAAATAAACTTTTATCTACTCGATAGAAAACCAAAAAAAAACGGCCATCTTCATTATACCAAGAGTAGCTAACGCTAGTTTCATAATACGCATATAATATAAACTCACAAGGTAAACATCGTGAGGAAACCTGCATGTCTGAGAGAACCTAACAAGTTTTCGAAAGACATGTGAAGTCCGCCAACCCGCACTTGGTCAGCGTGGTGGACTATGGCCTGATCCTCCTTGTATTGAAGGGAGGCCCTTGCCCAGCAGTGGGACGTTAAAAAAAAGAGAGGGCTGAATATAAACTCACATCAGTATGATCCTCAGCGCCATATGGGTACCTGGCATTGAGATCTGGCAAGCCCGAATCAGCTAGAGGGGTCACCTTGCACGCCACACTGCCCCCCGAGGGCAAGGGCGTACTCGCCCCCGTATGTACTGACTGCTCTGATGACACGTATCTGAAGGTAAGATTACATTAACTTTATTCCTCGATGAACATCACAAAATTAAAAGTAAAAATATGTACGCACGTAAAAAGTTATACTTCTTTGGCGTATTATATCAAAAATAACAAAAATATGTCACAACCTTCTGTTTGTAAAAGGAATTATATAAATTAATAAAAATAAATTTAATTTTTTATTCTCCACTGATATAAAACACGTGTTACACATGATTTATGAATATTTGAGAAACTACTTTAAATATAGTTATGAGTTTTCACGGGAACCGGAGAGACAGTTATCAACTAACTTCATCATGTCGCATTTTAGCTGTCGGTGTGCGCGCACATCGTAAAAATTTTACTCTCACCATTTTATTCAAACGTGCCACAAGAAGTATAACTTCAAAAAAGATTGATTTAAATACAAATTATCAATTATTGGATGAAAAAAACTTGTTCCATATAATTTTATGCGCATTATGCCTAGAATAGCGGTAATAAATACTGGAATTCAGTTTTAAAATATTTTGCTGAAGTTCAAAAAAAGAAAATAATTTAATTATATAGCAAACAAGCACAATAAATAAATAGCGTTAAACTAACAATAACTCTAACTAAAAACCACATAATATAGGTACCAATACTCGCTAAATAAACAAAAAAGTGATAGATACATTTAACAACAGTGTCACTTAAATAAAAAAAAGTATTAAGAAAATAATTAAGAGAAAAAACTAATTTAATGTAAATCCTATATACCTTTTAATAGGAGGCGTGGCTTGAGACGGTGAAGGCATCAAGTGGTCTGGGGGCCTAGGTAATGGTATAGGAGCAACTGCCCCCTGACTCTGGCCGTGGATCTTGACCAATGCGTTTTGATCTCTCATGAGGTAACGACGACATTTCAATAGCCCAAATATTACTATAATTGCTAATACCACTCCAAGTAAAGCCATCAGTATCATCATGTAGTAGGAGGATGATTCGCCATTTGCAACCTGCATACATTGACATAATGCATTATATTTTAATATAATATACAAGATACAATTATGATATTTAATTACGACTTAAATCAACAGCCTCTTTCATTTACAACATAAAAATTGTATAAGAATAACAAACTGGGATTAAACGCGTACATTCTTGAGTACAGAAATACCTTGATCCCGACTAAGGGATCTTTCGACTGGGTCGCACCAGCCATGGGCAGAGTCTACCCGTGCTCACAAACAGACTCTGCCATTGTAGTGTTATTCTTATACAATTATGAAATAACTATGAAATTTAAAAAGTTATAATATAAAAATTATAAGGGCAAAATCTCTTTAACATGAAAAAAATACGTATGAATTACATAGAACAACTAGTTTTTGACCGGGTTCGCTGGCATGATAAGTAGAAGAGGGATGAAAGGAATATTATTACGAAATAGGCACGGGGAAGGCCCCATGAAGCGATCTATGTCCTTGGTTTTCATCAAATTTCATCAAAATCTATTAAGCGATTTAAACATCAAACCTAACATACAGACTTACTTTCACAATTATAATATTATTGTAGTATGAAAAATTATAGTTTAAGATATGATTCAATAAATTTAATTTAAACTAATCGAATTAACTAACAATAGCTCATAAAAATAAACAAGTAATATAGAGTATACTCACTGGTACACCTTCATGGCTTTCAGGATCATTTGGTCCGGGTAAATTTTTCTTTTGACGACTCCCAATCAATATCTTCAAATCACCAGATGCTGGTTGGAATATTGTCGCAGCCAACAAAAACTTAAAACTGTCCTCTAAACCATTGAGGTCATTTATTTTCTTTTTTGTCACAAAGTATATTACACCAGCTTTTACATCCTCGTGTGTGAAATACGCCACCTCCCTTTCTCTTGCACTAGTTTTCTCTCCAGAGCTTCGAATAATTTTCTTGATCGTTCCATATTTAGGTTTCCTTATTAACGTATATACAGGATCGCTAGCTGTCAGTTTTGCTAATTCGGTCGCATCTAAGTTGCTAAGGGTAAGTTTTGCCTTGTCGCCATCTACCTTCAAATTGCCTAAAGACATCAACGGTTGTACTATAACGTCTATTCTAAATGGCAGCGTTGTATTGCTATTGTGCACGTAAGCTACCAGGTCGAAGCTGTCGTTTGCGACTGTCATATCATTTTGCATATAAATAACCACTTTATCCATCAAATCCTTATGCGAAAAATAAGTAACTGGATTGCGTCCCAAATAAACCATACCGTGTGCGGGCTGCTTTGTAATATTATACCAGACTTTGGATTTCTTCGCGTTTGTTTCTACATAAATCTGGTCTGTTGTCACTGACGCTACATTTGAGCCTTGTTGTAGATATATCGGGTGTAGAGACGTCGCGTTTAATATAACAGGAATGACGTCTATCGTGAAAACCGTATAAGTTGGTTTAAATTGTCCATCCCACACTCTAAAGTAAAAAGTAGCTGTTTGTAACAATCCAGAATGTTCGTAAACAATTCTTCCATTATTTATGTCCTCTTGCGTGAACTTGTTTATTGACTGCGCTTCGTCCATTGTACGGTTTTTATCGAACATCACTAGCCTGCCTTGAGTTGGCCCACTTATAATATCGTACAGTATACCAGAAGGCCCCGTATCCGCATCTTCTGTCAACAAATCGTTCTTAGTTAATGTAGAATTCTCTCCTTGAACCACTTGTATTTGTGGGGAGTCTGTGAGCAACCTAAATGGCTGATCGTTCACCGGGATAACATGTATGGGAATAGTTACGTTGCACAGAAGTACATAATCTGGTAAAAGATATAAGGCCATATCTATTTTATCCTGTACAGTATCTGAGTCGTCATGTTCGTACGTCACTACTCCGCTTTCCAGTTGGGCTTGTGTGAGGGAAGATAAGTATGGTGTAAGTTTTCCATGAGTCGGTTGCGACCACTGCGCTTCTATTTGCGGTTGTCTAACCCCAGCTTGAGTTTCTAAATACGTTATAACATTAGTCACATTCACTCGTATAGGAACCTTATCTCCTTCTTGAACATTCGTTTGGGGGATGTAGACGTACTTGGCCAGTCCTCCGGACGACACTGATACGTCTATATTGAAAATTTGATCGGCTATTGGTTTAGCTAACGCTGCTTCTACCGTGAATATGAAGGAATCGTTCGTATAAAGATCGGAGAAGGGATGCGTGTGTTCGTAGTAGATCACAGTGTTATTGACATCTTGTTGCGTAAACAGTTTTATAGATCTATGTTGATTCTCGCCGCTCAACATCACAAGTCGCCCAAGCGCGGGCGCTCTATCGACTTTATAAATGATATTCCTAGAGGGGTCAGAGCATTTGGACATTAACAGATAATTGTTTAGAGGTTCTCTCATCAAAGGAAAAACGCGCAACGTCTGTTTCCTAATTAATTTTAGTGACACAGATTTTGTTGTTATAAGGAATGTTATTTTGGAAAGCTCATGAAGTCCATCCGTGACGTTGAAGATCATCTTGCCTTTTGAGCCGTCTGAAATGAATATTTGTTTTAAATTATACAAATACATACATTCATTTTATTATTAGATTTTTATTATGATTTTGTACTAATAAATTCATTAAAACAAGAATGTTTAAATATAATGATCTTACTTTTATGGACAAAAATAACTTGTCGATTATCAATATCGGCTTGTGTAAAATGGTCCACGGGATTCTCTAGATCGCCCTTCATAGCAATATAACCAGATACGATATCAACCACTCTGATTGTAACATTTTTGAGCGGAGTATCAATATCATTGACGTCTGTAAAATAAAATAAATTCCAAATTTTTGCAATGATTTCTAAATATTTAAAACAAAATTATATCATAGATAACGATTTTTTTATAAACACTTTAATAATAAGAAAATTCTAACTGTAAGGATAATCATTAATTTATCGTTTTTGTTAGAGTCAATAGTACTACAAAATTCAGTTAAAGTCACATTTGTAAAATTTAATCAAGTTATTGTTAATAAATCTGAAAATTTAACTAAAACTTACATAGTTCGTTCCTTGTAAAAGTGAAAGTCCCTCCCTCCCACACACAGAGACCAGTATTGGCAGCCACTATTGGAGGTTCGTCATTCACTGGCATTATATTTATTCGTACAAAGAAAGGCTCGCTTTCTTTACCTCCTTCAGTAATCGCTACTAACTTTATCGAGTCTGATGATTCTTCTGATCCGTCATTCACGTACTATAAAATGTATTTAAAAAATATTATTTTTAATAAATTAGATTAAATGTTTTTATAAAGTCGATCTTCTGATAAACTAACAATGTGCACTAGTAATTAAAAAAAATATGTTACTTAAAGGACATAAAATAATACATTCACATTAAAATTTTCCTAAAATGAAAACAATAAGTTACTCACCAATATATTACCCGAATTTAATTTCAATACAGGTAGCAACGACAATTCTTGATCGGCCATCATTATTTTGCCATATTTTGGTTTCTGTATCACCTTGTACGATATGACTTTACCCCTATAATAGTCCGTGACAATTTTAAAGACATCTTGTTTAACACTCGCTGATTCTCCTTCAACCACTGTTAAGTTTGATGCAGAGACGTAAAAATGTTCTGGTATTATTATGATTGTTAGTTCCGCACCTCTTAACCAAACTATGCCGTTGGTGACGTCCATTTTGATCCTATCTCTAGTTCTATTAACGCCAGACTGCACGTAAACTAATCGATTCGCGTTTATAATTGATTGGTCAAATACATTTGTATGTATTGGTTCATCGTTGTAGTTCTCCATCTCTATTGTACCTGGAGTAGAGGAGATTTCCAGCCAGCCATGGTATGGTCCTTCTGTTACTTGGTATACTATATTAGAAGGCTCAATTTGAGGATGCATAACCTAAAAAAATAAATGAATATTTTACCCTACCTATTTAAGATAAACACAAAATTTTACTTCACTTATATTTTTCCAACTCTTTATTTTCTACTTATAAAACTATTCAAATGTTTAAATAATTACGGTGCTTACTTCTAATATATCTTTGGTTATATTGACGCTTGTGGACTCTTCAACTATAAGTACTTTGTTGGTTGTTACTTTCAGGGGTTCCCAGTAACTGGATGGGAATATTTTAATAGGAAAAACACCTTCACCCCACGCCTCTAAGCACATCACTTTAAATCTGAAACAAATAATAATTTATTCTATTGGTAGTTCTGGCACTTATCTGATATTACACACGTATATCGTAATCTGATATACACATAAAGATGTATTAACGGGAATTCCCAGTGAGATTTTAGATTTAATATAATATCAATATACTAATTACTGTAATCTTCATCTCTATATTTGAAAGTGAAAGGTCACTCTTGACTCGACCAATAAAGATAATATTCGTCAGGTAGATACTTAATAGGAGGGAGACTTAATATTATATTGCTATCGTAAGTCCATATGAAAGTCCTACATTATCGTTGATAGAAACAAAGATTATTATTATATAAAAAAATAAATCCTCTATATGGGTGAAGACGTGGATTATTTTATTAGTAAGACAGTATTTATATTTATATACCGAAACATATCAGTGGGTGTTTTCGGTTCCCGATGTCTGTACGCAACTCTAGCCGCAGCTATATCCAGTTGAGTGAAACTGATCACCCCCTGACCCTCGCCAACTTCTATAGAACCGTGTTTCGGTTCCTGCGTCACTTCGTAACGGATATCTTCTTCTAGGCAGTTCATGTTTGTGTCCACCTGAAAACGGGGGAGTTTAACTAAATGGAACATTCGAAAGTAGTCATTATTTATACTGTGGTAAGTAAAAATTAAAATACAACATAAATATGTGAAAAATAACAACAATTGTTTGAATAAAATAGTTAAATCTGTTTCAATTTCAGTCTATATAATAGAACTTTTAAGTGACGATTTCAAAATCAGTCCTAAATTACAAGAAAAACATTACAATTAACGAACATTTGTAATATACATTGTGTAATATACATAAGAACATACAATTAAAATGAGTATGGAAACAGACTTCCAAATGAAGAGCATATACTCCATAATAAATTCAGTCAATAATATATTTAAATGTATGAGCTAAATACATACTTGCATATCTCTAGTGGTAATAACAACAGCCTTTCCATTTTCTACTATGGACCCATTTGTCGGGTACATCCTTATGAATGGCGGTGACGCTTGTATTTCCAAATTGCCATTGACATCGAACAACCCGTCTGAAATCCAGAAGGACATTTTCCCATACTCTTTTCCTTGGTGTTTGAATAGTACGAGATTCTTATTAATATCGTCTTGAGTGAACTGATATATTTGTTCCGACGGATTATCCGCACGAAATATGCCTCCATTTGGCGGATCTTTGGTAAACCTTTGGACAGTGTATATAATATCTGACGGTTTCGTATCCAAGTCTGCGTCAGTGTAACTTAGGTCTCTAGTCGTTATAAGCCTGGCTCCCCCGTGAACTATGTGGAATACTTTCTCATTAGCCCGCACTGGACTATTGTCGTTCTTCAATATAATATCTATATGGAACACACCAACATATTGAAAGTCTTCTGGTTCAGGACTGAGCGCCATAAAATGAAACGAATCGTGTCTACTCTCGGAATCATCGTGAGAGTAGTACACTCTATCAGAATTTAGCTCTTGTAATGTGAAATACGTGGTATTATCTCTTAGTATCTTCAAGTTGTCAGTTATAACTTCGATCTTACCGTGTTTTGGTAAATGTGTTATATTGAATACTAAATTAGTGACCACATCTGTGCGGAAGTTGAGATGTGTTGTCGGTATGGTCATTCTGGAACCTTCTAATACCTGTAACCTTTCTAAAGTCGTGTGCACTCTACCGGTGGAGTGGTCTGCAATAGAAGTGCCGGGTACATGTCTAATTGTCATGACTCCGGTAATATTTTCACATTCCGTAGCCCCTACGACGAATGTGAATTCGTCTTGTATATGGGAATAGGCTCGTCTATGTAGCCGGTACCATAAAAGATCCGCATCTATATCCTGTTGAGTAAATGTACTGTGCATTTGCAAGTGATGCTTCCCTGACGATAGGTGTAATATGCCATACTTCGGTGGTTTTAGAATAGTAAATAGGATTCTGTCGCCCGGCAAAGTAATCGGTCTCGTTTTGAATCTAAGATGTAGTGACGATATGAAGGCTTCTCTCGTATTATTTAACACTAATTCCTCGTTTGTCGATTGATATAGTTCGAGTTTTATAAATGTGAGTCGAAAGTCGTATAATGTATTCGTTCGAACGTTACCCACCGATGCTTTAAACTGGCGACAAAAAAAAATTGTTAAAAGAGATACATAAATCAAACGATCATTTATCTTTCATACATTTTACATTCCATATGATTATTTTGAATAAATTTTAATAGAATATTATTACCTTAAATTCATCATGTATGGGATTGCCTAGTATATGCATATATCTCACACGGCCAAAATTTATCATCTCACTGGTGAACGAATCGACTGTTTGCCACGTACTGTCAAGCACTCTAAGACGCTCCACCACGCCAAATTGCGGTGGTTTCACTATGTCGTATCTGTAAAAAAATTAAATTTGAGTATTTTTACTAAACTATAAAACATTTATGACTTAAAATATTTATATTAAACAGTTTAGTGGTACCAGATATCTTATAGTCGTATAGTACAGAATTTCAAAATTTTAATATGCGAATAACATGTCCACATTACCGTTGACTATAACATTTCGAGATACTATTTAGAAACATTTATTCTGAATTGGGTAGATTTATTTGTATTGCAATAAAACAATGTATGTTTACATAAAAAATGTGGTCCAAATATTCCATATTCCAACTTACTTTACATGAACATTAGTTTCATCAGCATTTGTAGTGAATGTGAGGTTATCAGCAGTGATGACGGCGTATGAGTTGTGTACTAGGAACAGCCCCGTATTGTTCACGAGACGAACCTGTAGCGGTACTATTGAAATGCGCAAGACACCTGGTCCACTGGTTTCTATGCCATCTGATACCTGGCAGAATGAATTATTATTAATTAGTAGTTGCAATAATTTATGCTAAAACTCTAATCTTTGAATAAAAACTTTATCATAATTAGAAAACGAAGTTGTTATTATATGTAAAAAAAATATATTTAAGTAAGTACATAACATAATATCATCTTCGTTGATAGAACGTCAAATCATATAATATAGATTTAAGATCGCAGGTTCGAAGTAGACACAAGTTGATATTATATTACTACAAATATATTATTTACCTGTAGTGTCAGCCGAAGAGATGTCTTGTTCAGTTGCTTATCTCCGGTCCCATGCACGTACGATATTACGCCGGAGTCGATATCTTGCTGTGTGAAGGAGTCCACGGGTTGTCCAGACATTTCTATGTGACCACTGTAAAAATTTCAATACTATTTAATACCAACGCACCCTCGTTCCGCTCGAGTTGGTCCCTAAGACCTTTGACGGTTAGTAATTAGTATAGATTTCTCAAAGGTGAGTGATTTTCGATAAATAATGACTGCTGTATCGATAATAATGACTGCTTCAATAAGATTTTCCATTTTTTATTATATTTATAGATTACGTGTAATAATACTATATCTTTTTATTATTTAAAATCATTGTATAATGCGTAAATTTTATTATTTATAAATAATCAGTGGAATATTTTGTAATTTAAATCAGATTATATTAGATGAATTATCGTCCTACACTCGAATGCACACAAGATGTGAATGATGTGATTTTATAAAAGATTTCATACATTCCTAAGCTTTCACGCAAGTTTCTATTACACGATATTGAGATATCAAATACATAAAATTATGGTTAAATCAATGATTAATCATTATTAATCATTAAATTAATTTAAAAAAACTCAATATTTTTAAATACACTATCATTATATAAGCTTTACAAATAGTGTAAGTACTATTTTTAAAGAACTGAGTCATGATTTTTTTATTTATAAAATTGCAAATATATCGTAAACAAAACAAATAAACACCTGTTAGCTTCGTTTTTCCCATGCAACACAGTATATAGAAGATCTTCTGGAGGAGTGTCGGGATCTTCAGCTTTTAACACATCCGAAGTAATGACTTTTCTCGTACCCTTTAAATTGTAATTAGTTAAGAAAGTTTTATTTTGCATTATACAATGAATTCGCTTAAAAAATGTTTTGAAAATAAAATTACTCTAATATAACTTCATGAACATGAGTAGTATTGAGAGTAATTGTTATAATTATTAAGAAATAATATCTTGTATTTATTTAAGAATCTAAAGAAAAAGATGGGTACGTAACAGTTTACATAAAAACGGATTCACAGATGAAAATATGTATTGCTATCAAAAAAGTCCAATCTAAAAAGAATAACAGCGATCAATAATCAGTAAGTAATATAAAAAAAGAAAGAAAACAAAACGAATAAAACAATTATCTAAAAAAATGTGAAATTTTAATTACTATCAATATTGTAGTAATATAATGTAATAATATGCATTAATATGTAGTTAAAAAAATAAAGAAAACGAGAACGAAAAAAATAATTATAAAATAAAAAAATGCTCAAAAATTTATTGTGTACAGATAAATATTGTAGTGAAAGTGATAGGTCTTGCACATCTTCTATTGGAGCAATGACCGACCCACATCAGTCCAGTGGCGTTCCAGTCCTAGTTTTAGTAAAGTACAGGATCGGTACTGGAGTAATGTGACTAGTCACAAAACGTAGACAAATCTTCAGGAATATTCCCGTTTTCTTTATTTTCCTAGTAACATTATGTAAATAGCATTTATATTTGATCCAAACTTATAAAAGACATGTCAATTCATCCGTCATGTGTCTTCTTATTCCTACAAATACTAACAGCAATAAGACGAAAGAAGATAATTTGGACCGACAATACAAAAATAAAAAATTGTCAATAAATCATATGTTTATAAAAACCTATTTGAAGAAAATTCAGTTTCTGTTTCAGTGAAAATTCATAGTTAAAATGGACAAGCTTTAAGATCATAGGAATAATACAATCTTATGCAAATGAATGTGTTGTCAAAATTGAAAAAAAAAACCTTGTAATTAAAAACCAACATTCATACAAAAAGCAGATGTGTCCTTTATAATATTTCAATATAATATCTTATTTAGCGCTTACTGACGGGATTCTTAGTAGGTGTTTATTAAACTACTAGCGACTCACCCTCGCTTCGCTTAGGGTTCATCCCTACACAAAAACAAATCTGTCCCGCAGGAACCGTACGTTTATCCTGGATAAAAAGAAACTTAAGTGGTCTTCCAGACTATAATTTATCCTGTAACTTTCATACATATCCGTTCAGCGTTCTGGCGTGTAAAACTAACAAACATCCATCAATCCATCCTCACAAACATTCACTTTTGTAATATTAGTATGGATATGTGACTTCTCAAAATTTATGAATATATCCCCTTTTGCTATAAAAATTTTACGTTAAATATTGATATAAAGCAGAAAGATTTATTTTTTGTTTGTTTGTACCGATAGGCTCCGAAACTATTGAAATCATTTAGATGAAATTTGGTAAAAAGATAGTTTGAGACCCTGGGAAGGACATAAGATAGTTTGTATCCCGAAAATCAACCTGGGTGAAAAAAAACCTGGGGTGAAAATAGGGATGAAAGTTTGTATGGGGAATCAACCATTCAGTCATTTATAATTTAGTTTAAATATAGTCAAAAAAATAAATTATAATAGGTACAATCAGAAACCGATTATAATTCATAAAGTTATAGTTTTAGTCATTACTTAATTTTAAAGTTAGAAAGTTATTTCTAAATTCTACGTTTCGTGATTTCTCACATTCAATGCATTGCAAACGTGGACTAAAGATTGCGTTATATTTAGACCTGTCACATATACAAGTACATGATGAAAATTTGAGTCGACTCGAGATTTACTTAAAAATATGCTACCGCTGCATTTTTATTTACAATTCAGGTCATTATACTCGAATTTTAAAAATGTTACTATGTGAAATAATTTTCTAACTTTTTTATTACCCAAATAATTTCTAAGTAACTATAAATATAACAATAATGACGACTAATTAAATTATTTTATTTATTGAGTTGTACTTAAAATAGCAATTACAAAGTTAAATTAAGTTGTAATCTATTATTTAGCAATTATGTAAAAAAATATACATTGTTAAAAAAATATATTTCTACAAAGACATACTCACACAGTTTTATGTCTATGTTGGGTTATTTGCTAGTTGTGTGAAACAAAAGCATGCAACTACTCAAAAGCAACTCAAAAAATTAATTGAAGCGCACGTGGCATTCTGAAAACAAATAGAAAATATAAAAATGTTATATAATATACAAAATTATAATAAATATTAATAGTACATGCTATTTTAATAATATTTAATGTTTTAGCTTCACTGTTGTAGGTAATGTTATAGCGAATGAGGTTTTTGAATGTTTATCTATTAATTACAATATAATAAAAATTTATATAAGTACCTACAATGTACATAAAGCATATCTTCTGTTACAACAATATAATAAAAATGAAAGTTTCGCGTGTCTATTTGAAAAAAAAAATACTTTGGGTGGACTGAGAATAAGTAGTAAAAGAAACTTTAAAGGTTTTTAGAATTTTTGTCCGTCTGTTTGAATATCGGTCTTGTCTGTTTGTCCGTGTGTTTGACAGCGCGTCAAATCAGTCCCCATCTCGAGGTGATATTTATTCTTTTATTTCATTAAAATCGATGAATTATATCAAAGTTGTTGCCATTTCGAGTTAGAAGGAACTTTACTAATATGCTCGTGGTATTGCTTGGATTGTGGAAATTACAAATTAATGAAATTAATGATAATGTCAAATATATTATAAATAATAAATAAAAATGTTGCATAACTATTTGCAAGTTTGAATCGCAAAAATGAATATTTATGTTAAGGGGGCACCGAGCTTTTGGCGCTAATCGATTTTAGTAGGGCGAAAGCGGGCAGGGGGGAGTGTGGATAGGATGGACGGACCGCGTGCGAATTTAGGTATTTCCTTTGTATTATTAAAACAAATACACATTTTGAAAATGTAAAGTGTATACGTTATAGAAAACGTACAGTTTTGTTATTATTAAAAAACTGATGAACTTCCTTGAATTATTTACGCAGCACTAATTGTTTATTTGTTTTTTAGAGATCATTTTGGATTTTTTTCTATCGAGGAAACCACGAGTAATCGTGTTTCTAAAGTTTACGATTTATAGAATAAATCCTAATTAAAGTTTTAGTAATAACAATACAGTAAGGGATCAAACGAACGCAATTATTTCGTAATTACGTTTCGCTGCCTCTGTGCGCCCTTAAATAAATACTAATTATGAGTAACGGAGTGTCAGTTTGTTAGTGCGCTTCATAGATGACGTTATAAAATTGAGTCTATTTTATGAATCGCGGTGATCAGATTTTCAACAATTAAGACTCAATCTATGATTCGTTTAGGCGGATAGTAGGTCAGAAAATTAAAGTTATCAGTCAATAGTTGTGCTAAGTTGTGCTAGCTACGTTGTTTTAAAATTCAAGATACATAATTATTGTTTTGCATACTATCATTAGGTTACGTTAAAAGTAAAATGTTTACTCATGTACGAAATTTATTTAGTTGACGGTACAAATAAGTTTGTATTTCATAGTAATAACTATGAGAAACAACGTTAATTTTACGGCCCAACGTGTGAAGCGGAAAATATGCTTTATATTAAAAAAACGTCCAAATGCGTATCACGCGCAATTTAGGGTTCCGTAGTTGTCCATCACAATAATGCAGACTAAAAGGAGTTAAGTAGAGTAAAGGTTATTTGTTGTTTCATACTATGAACATTTAACTGTTTCAGCGGGTCATAGTAAGAAGTACATTTTATAAGATGGTATATTGGATGGTGAACTATTACTCGTAAACTTGTAAAGCTTAATTAGTTGCGATAGTTTTCCTTTTAACTCCGTAACGATATATAATATATACTACAACCGTGATATTTTTCACATATCTAAAAACAACCGGACAAACGGACGGACAGACTTGACGAAACTACAAGGGTTCCTTGTTGACTACGGAACCCTAAAAATTCCTCATTATATCTTCTTCAAAATAATTTTCGCTTAAGTTTTTTGTATTATACTAAACACGTAATGTATTATGCTAAACGTTATATTTTATAATATGAATACAAAATTGTCTAATGGATGAGATAATTATAATTATTAACTACCTTCTAAATGTCAGCGTGGTAAATCGAAATGACCTACAATAAGTTTTGCTAAGTATATAACGTTACGTGTAAATTAGTTTCAAAAAATTAAACATCCATATGCAAATATGAAAACTCTTGCAAAAATTAAATGAATTCTTGGTACATACTACTAATTGTTGTACTATTAATCTAAAAATTGGTGAAACTTAACATAAACAGAAGGTGCACATAAAGATTAACTTTCATCTACATACATTAGTTGTAGTAAATTTTAATTATTTAATAACTTGCGACTCACCCTCGCTTCGCTCTGGTTCGTCTCTAAGTTGATTCCCCATTAAAATTTTCATTCCCATTTTCATCCCCTTAAGGGGTGACTTTCAGGATAAAAAGTATCCTTTGTCTTTCCCAAGCTTTCAAACTATCTTCTTAGCAAATGTCATCTAAATCTATTCAGTAGTTTCGGAACCCATTCAGTAAAAACAAACAAACAAAAAATGAAATCTTTCCGCTTTATAATATTAGTATAGATAACAATAATTATTTCGTATTTAGATCAATGAATAGAATTCGGTACCTATTGCCTTATAACATTTAAAGTAAGGTAAAAAAACGCTTCACATGAAAATGTTTCACATGGACAAAGTCACTGGCATAAACTAGTAGCCCTAACTACAAACATATCATACCTGAGTGAGTCTCAACACTTTGCCCGGCAGTAGATTGAGTACAGGCGGATCATTGACCGGCGTCACGTTGACATGAAGCACGAACGTGTTACGTCCTTGTAAATAGCTTGGCAATGTGAACTTAGTTTCTGGTATCAATTCCATTTCAAGGACTATAGCGTCTTGGTGATTTTCTGAGCCGTCATGTACGTAGCGGACCTGTAAAGTATTTTTTTATAATCAAGAGTTTCATTCATAACATAACTAATATAACTAGTTTAATTCCTTCCTTTAATCAATACATATCCATAATATAATAACACTAACCTTGTCTCTCGATAAGTCCATGAGTGTGAAGAATTGTTTGGACTTTTCCCCATCGACGTAATTATATTGGGGTAGATTACGTTGTAAGGTCAAATCTACGGCTATTCGGCCGTGCTGCGGCGACTGGGCCACATGTAGTAGTACTCCTGACGGTCTCACACCATACTTATGATGGTCTAATATAACATCAATGTTCTGCGTAGTTATAACTGCCACTCCACCTTCTTGCACGGTTAATGGATACAACGCCACTAACTCTAGTTCACTGCTGGACTTTGAGAAAACCTGAGAAATCATTGTGCTAATTAAAGCATTTTTTTTAATTAAATATATAATATTTGTTTAATATGACATTTTTAACATATTGTTACTCCAAAGATGATATCACCTCAAATGATGGGATTGTTGCTTTAAAAATATAAATAAACCTCTTGCTTAAAAATGTATGGACATACCACATTATATTAGATAATTTTATGACAATACATTTAATTATTTCGAAATCTGAAACTTCATAAGCTATTTACTATATATTATTAGCTATTTAAAAATCACGATAGCTCATTTTATAACAATCCCGGAATCGATAGAATAGTAAATGGATTTTCCCCTCCATGTCTAGGACTCTATTTCTCTCGCCCAGATAATACAAGTAAAGCCATCGATTTGCGCCTGATCTCTCATTGTGAAGGCTTATCTTGCCACCGTGACCGGACTATTAGAATGAAAGGAATATAGGATGCAATTTCGATTTCACATCTGTACAAATGGCTGGTCTCATTGAGATTAGCCACAGTGACCGAAATTCAGTCTAGAAGTCTTTTATATACTAATGGTAATACCGTTCCTCATTGTAATATAATTTCCATCACAATTCTATCACTATCAAGAGGTTCTTTAAGGAACTGTTTAATTAATTACATATAGGCACAATTGTAACTGAAGAATCGTCAAATAAATAAATTTGTGGGCATTGTTTTACTCATTATAATTAAACTAGTGACATTCTCGCTTCGCTTGAGTGCGTGATTGAGTAATTTTTACATTTACAATATTATGACCCGCACTCAATTCGCTTGGCGACTTGATTACAAATAATCGACTTTTCTTTCTATAAATATATAATATCATACATCTTCCAGAAGAAATTCTCTAAGTTATAGCGACAAGCATATCAAAATCCGTTGTATAGATTAAAATACCCACACATACAAGCAAAAATATTAACTTTGTCTAGACTAGTTAATAATATTATAAAGAGGAAAGATTTGTATTTTTGTATGTTTTTAACGAATTAACTCAAAAACTACTGCACCGATTTAGATGAAATTTGGTATGAAGATAGTTTGAGACCCTAGGAAGAACAAAGGATATTTTTTATTCCGGAAATCATCCCTTAAGATGGTGAAAATGAGGATGAAAGTATGTATAGGGATTCAACCTAGGAACGTCCCGAGCGAAGCGACGGTGATTTATTAATCCACATTACCTTATATTTCTCAGCGTAATCAGGATTGATGCACAAATCCGTATCACATTTACACGTAAAGTGATCTACTCCATGTTGTTCACACGTAGCTCGTGGCACGCAGGGAGGACTGGGCCCCGCGTGGCAGGGGTACCACCAAACGCACCTGGGGCTCACCCCGTACGATATTACTGCGTTGGGCAGCCCGTATATCTTGTCGTCCACCTCGATCGGTCTGATGCAACCCTAATGAAAATAAGAATAATGTTATGTGTTGTCGGATTTGGATCATTCATTAATCACATTTGTCTTCATGTATTATGAGATATTAGAAGTTTGGGGCTAAAATATTCGAGACGGCCGCGTCAAGGACACTAAATAAAGTTTGAAGAAAGAGCACATAATTTCAAACACACACAAAAACAACTATGGCAACTATAACAATTAAATATATTTATTTTACATCTTAATGAAATATATTGATTGAATATTTTTTTCATATCTTACCATAATGCTAGAATCAGCTGCTTTAATACCCTTAGCGAATGCTTTCTGCCTCTTGTCACTCTCTATGCCTCCAAGATAAAACAAATCTGACAGATCCAAGTATCTGGTACCGCCACTCTCAATCTGTGTGCTCATGGCTATATTGTCTATAGAAAGCTGAAAAATAATACATAAATAAAATTACCCACACGACTTATTATCACATATGTAGGTACATGACTATAAAAAACTCAAAACGTTATTATATTGGGTAATACATAATATAAAATCGATCAAGCGCTTTTATATTTTTCTATTCAATTATATACTTAAAAATAAAGATGTTTCATCGTGAGATTATAACGTGTGGGATGAATGTTCATAAAGTTCTGTTACACTCAGTCTCAATCTGATTGTTTAAATACTGTTAATTTTAATTTTTTATTTATTTATTTTAGGGAAACAAACAGTAAAGTATTACATAAATAATAATAGGATAATACATAAACCAATCAAGTAGAACACAATGAAAATAAAAGACAAAAGAATAAGTTAAAACTAAAATAAAAAAATACAAAAAGATACACTAATTAACATTAATAATAAAAAATAAGGAAACAAATATTAAATACATAAAACACAAAATTATCAATCAAACACAATAAAAATACAATTTTGGAAACATAAAAGTGAATTGGAAAATATGTTTATACTTGTAAATTATTTATTATACTCATTACATGGACAAAGTATAAAGATATTTCGAGCATATTTCGTTCTAGTACAGGGCAGGTCAAAAATATCGTGTGTGTACATTTTGTGTGATCTAATGAAAATACAATAATAGGATGAGCTTTTGAAGTAGACTTGCATGTATAGTATGACGAAATAATAAAAATATAAACCTATAAGCTAGACTGTTTTCATTTTCACGTTCTTATCATTAATTAATACCTCGAATATTATTTACTATTCCGATGTCTATGAAACTTTGAATGCCAATGCCACCAGTTGAAATTTATTTGTAAAATAATTTCATATTTATGTATATACATTTTAAATATTCATTAAAATCGAAAGCAAAGCAAACGTGATATTTAAATCCACTATTATTTAAATTCAAGTCAATTTTGAATACTAAACTAAATATAAGCTACACTAGACTGGATTGTTATAATATTCGAGTGTTGCGCCCGTATAGAATTCGCATTTTGCATATTCCATTCTCAATAGAAATTCATTCGCACTCAGCTCAAACTTCAATTAAATAAATAAAAAAAGTCTTCTATATCTGAAAATTGTTTCTGTTAAAATATTTCTCTAAACCTAAGTTATTTTTTAATAAATATATACCTACATACTAGTGACTCTCACTCGTTTCGCTCGGGTTCGTCCCTAGGTAGAATTTAACGAGTACTATGGATTAGACTGACTATATTATATACAAAAGTATAGAAAAGTTGGTAGTATTTATTTTGAGAAATGATTTGTCCCGAATACTAATTTCAACCCCTATTTCACCCCTTTCGAGTTTCATTTTTGCGACAAAAAGGATCCTGTGTCTTTCTCCAATGTCCACCCCTCTCTATGCCACAGTTCATCAAAATTGGTTCAGCGGTTTAGGCGTGACAACGTAACAGACCGAGTTACTTTCGCTTTTATAATATTAGTATTGATTTTTATGCGTGTCGAGTCACAGCTGGTTTATTTTAAGATCAAACGTTGTATGATTAAAACAATTTTCTATTCTAAAATAAGAAATTCATGTCATATCCTCTTTAGAAACATCAAGGGTACAATTCATTGCAATACACATAGTACCTTCCAAGCAAGAAAAAAAACTGTAAGGCAAGTAAATTGTAAGAGAAGTGTTAGACTCAGGGGTCGAACCTGCTATATATGCTACTCTAATGCAATGCATTTACTATTTATGTATTCTTATTAGTTTCCATACGAATAACGTTAACACTGAATCAGACAGTTCAATCACGGCCATTACAGCTTTCGGCTCGACCTCATTGCACGCTTGTATAGAAATAAGGTCAATAGTTGTGCGACTGCATTAATCGTACAGCAATCGTTTGTACACGAAATACCTCTGTGATGATAGATTTAGTTCCGAGATAAGTTTAATAATTTATATAAAATTTCGCCAAAGTAGTTTCTTATCGCTTCAATGAATATTCGTTCCAACTAGGAAACATGATATAATATATTTAATAAAAACATTAAACCATTATGCATATATGCAGACAGGAAAATGTTACGTTTATTCCAGTGATAATACAGAATGTGTCATACTAATACAGAATAACTCGCCTAAATTGAAACATTTTCCTTTTGCGAGAATCGAACTCGATCCAATCACGCTTACCTGTAAACAGCTAAGCCTGATTGGATAGAGTCTAAAGACTTAATAGAAAAGCTACCACAATACTATACCAACATCAAAGGAAAAATTCACAAACAGAAAAATAAAAGCAAAACACTCAGCAATAAACGGATCTAAGTTAATATGAACTCAGATATAGTTAAACAAAAAATTGTTTGAAACGTTTGTAATTCGCAGAGCATAGCGTTCGCTAAGTAATTTCTTTAATTTTTTTGTAGTTCGTTCTTTCTCTTTGTAAATTTATATCGCACATTTCTGTTGTATGTATAAAATACTGAAGTTAAGCTTAAACGAGTTGTCTTAAATAAGAGAAAAATTGTTTGGTAACTTTGTTAAATACAGAAAGCTTTGACAGAAAAGTTTTTAAAACATTACAGGATTAACTTTTGTATGTGCAAGCTTATATCACTCGACAAATAAAAATCCAAAAATAGGTATTGAGATTGAGTCGCGTTAAATATCACTTTTTATTTGAAGCTTACCTCAATCAAAGACGGGTTGAAAAGTAAATGTAATTTGTGCCATTGTCCATCGTTCACTCTCTCACTGTGCACGATCAGCCCTCTCGCCATCTTCACCCTCACCACTCCCTCCAATATCTCTACAGCCAAGAAATCAGATCCGCGACCGCCTCCAGGATTATAAAGGACTATTGCGTTTGGTGTAATTGTTTTAAATTCTATTTGCCATCTGTGTACAAATGTTTTGTTTATTAATTATAATTAATACCTTTATTGTCACTAACAACCCGCTCTCTAATCGCTCAGACCCTAATAACTCTATTACAAATTAGATTTTAGAAAAGAACAAACTGGTCTATCTAATGTGAACCGTTCATTTTTCCGGGATCAAAAGTAATCTGATGTTTAACCGGCAATATAAGATTTCAGCATGCCAAATTTTACTAAATTAGGTGCATAAACTGTTGTGCACTAAGCTGTATAAGTTACTATAGTTTTTTAACTATACCATGGGAACTCTTTAATTTATTTTCTGGGATGAAAAGTATCTAAAATGTTGAATGGGAATATAAGGTACCACCATGCAAAATTTCATATAAATCGGTCCAACAGTTTTGGAGATTGGTCCGTACAAACAGACAAAGAGACAGAGAAACAGAAAAATTGAAGAAAATCTGGATTTGTTCTATTTCTCTTCTTACACCCCCCTGACTAGGTTTTTAAGATTTTTGCTATGTACAGACATTCGACCTCTACAGTTATTTTTTATTGTATGTATAGATATTATGATTTTTTTATTAGAAACTAGCAATACATCCGCCCGCGTAATATGTATATGCATACCGCCTCTGCCCGCGTAATATATGTAATTTCTCCGCTATTAAAAGTGATATAAGCCTAGATAGCCTATAAACCTTCTTCAATAAATAGGTTACAAAATGAAAATTGCATTTTCATATCAGACAGGCCACTGCAAAGATAGCGCTTTCTACAAACAAACAAATAAACTTCAGTCTTCAGCTTTATATATTAATATAGACATAATAACCTTTTAAAACCTACTGGCAACCGCCCTAAAAAATATTATTGTATAATTGTTTCCAATACTATTTTACCTCTCTAGAGTTTACATTTTAGAAAATCGTTTTTACAGTGGTCATATCATTGTGTGAATATTGTCTAAATTTCAGTTTTTCAGGTCCAGCGGATTGGTCGGCGTTAATCACTCAACTTCGACGAGTAGGTAACTTTAAATATTGTTATATGTACATATGAGTCAACGAATATTCATGTAGTTCCAGCACTTCCGCATAATACATGCATTCTACTTAAAAACTCACAAACTCTGTCTCTTTGCAATATACTAATATTGAACAGTAAAAGTGGTAAAAAATTTAAACAAAAAAGTTACATAAGACATGCATGTATACAATATGCAGCTGTAGTATATTTGATGATTCGTTACGGGCAAAAGTTCTCATTTTCTAAATATTAATTGTATTATACGAAATATACCTATTATTAGTAATAATAATGAAAAATTGTGTTTAATCTACCTACCTTCCACCCGCTCTAGAATTTATTTTAGGTAGAACCAAATAAGCTCCTTCATCAATGAAGCTTATATCAGAATTAATGTCGGCGTCGAACTCGGGGGCGCAATTCCATGTCACCCCTTCAACGTGTACTGAGCCAGTGCGGCTTCGAGCTTTTTCTATGATTTTAACGCCATTGTAGTAAACCTACAACCCAAGATAAACATCAGGAGGAAAATATATTTAAGATTTCATTTTTTTTATATTTACATTTTGCTTAAATGTTATTAAATGTGGCACGTACATCTTCCATACACCCACGAAAATTTTCCATATGACCGAGAAAGAGTTCCGAAAAGTCGCCCTGTCCTCCGAGAAAAATACCAAAATGTATGTTTAGTTCAAAGAAGCGTCCCGGCAGCCTTTTCTTCACGACGTTGTCGTCAACCTAAAAATAATGGAGTCGAAGTCAATGACATAATGAAACGGTTGAGACGTCTGACTCATGTCGTACTTGAATATATATTTTATTTGTATATATAGTATATACATAAGACATGCATGCATCAAATTTACTAGCCAGAATTGCACTTGCTAATGCTCTCCTAACCCTAGTGAATTACTAACAACTACCTATACTATAGGAATACGGTAGCCGGAGGCTTAAGGTTTCCATTAATGCATTTCTATCAAAGGCCGTAAGCCGTACTTTGAGATATTAACGTCCGTATAACATAAATGCAAATATGTACATTGTACAATGTACATAGGTATGTACCATAGATATATTCGTTGAATATTGAATACGCAAAATTGATACCAAAAGTATAGGTAATGCACCTGATATAGAACAGAGTATCGAAATAATCTCATAGCTACATGGTATTTTAAAAACACAATATTTATAGTGGAAATCAACTACAAATGTAATGAATTTCAATTTATTTTCAATTATGCACTATTTGAAAACATACAAAGGTTTAGTAAAAATAGCATATAAGTAATCATTATTCAAGGATTTCTTTAAAAAGAAAAGTTTTCTTATAACTGTCTCCAATTGTCTTTAGATAATTGGACTTACTGCAAAATTGATACAGCCCACGAAAACCGTTTTTTTGAGTTACTGTCATAAATGGCACCTACACATCAACACATATTCAAAAAGTTCATAAAGTACCCAATATTTAAGAGGAATTTAAAAAAAACTACGGTCTTGTTATTTTGATATACCAATTTTATTAAAATTTCTATTTTCTCCAAAATAAGTTTTTGTGGTTGGATCTATTTTGCAAAACTACGTCCAATTATTCTAGTTGAAATAAATATACAACAATATAAATTAAACCTTAATTGCAATGCTTAAAGTTGTTTTCACAAAAAAAAATTAAAAACGCACTCAAATGTTCAAATTAGCGCTCAATCGGCACTACACGCCGTATTTTTTTCTGTCCATATCGACCAAACTTCAACAAATTGCAATAGCATGCAGACCCACTTATGACGTTACGACTGTTTTCGCGGCAGTTTTAAACAAATAACATTGAGACATGAGCAAAAGCTTCGCTACAAAATAAAGATGTATTAACTTTTTTATGGGAATAAGTAAGGATACTTATTATTAATTTAACACTTTATGAAAAATTGTCCGATCTCCTATTGGATATTAATTTTGCTTACATGTAATTATATTTTGAGCGCAATGTATTAAAAATATGTATATATCCTATGTCAAAAAAATTAGAAACTCCTGTAGTAATCAAACAGGATCTCCTTAATATAAGCATCTGAGAATATTTTAAAACTTATGACCTTTTAGAGGAGCTATGCCAGCTTTATGTGTTTAAATATGTCTTTAAGTTCATAGAAGATTGGTATTCGTCACATGTACTATGTACTAAGATATACACTGGCGTGCAATAAAACCGGGCCACCCTTAATTTTAAGCATAATTTTTTGTTGACAATTGTTTGGTGAAAACAAATACCGCAAAGGTAATTAAGGAGATTAGACGCCTTTGTTTCCTTCAAAAAGTCATAAAATTCCTGGAAATGCACGTGTGCGCTTAATTATAGTCAATTAGCAGCAATTAGTGAATATTTGCATAATATGGATTGAAGCCACAAATACTGTTTTTTGTTATTTTAGAAGCTTAGTTGAGTTCCAATTATTGAACAAGACACTTCTACTTTGATCTGCGATTATTAGAAATACTGCAAGATGGATCTGACCGAGGCTGAATCATCTCGAATTGTGACTTTGCTTGAAACTGGACAAAGTCAAAGTCAAGTGGCTCAAGCTTTTTCTGTGAGCCGTTCTACGGTCCAGAGAGTGTACAAACGTTACATAGAGACTGGTGGCTTTGTACGACGACATGGTTCTGGCCGACGAAGAGCCACATCAGAGCATGATGATCGATTTATTATGTCATCAACTCTAAGAAATCGTCATCGCACAGGGGCCGCAACTGGCCCCAAACTCACCCCTGCACGTCGAATTGCAAGATTACTTTTTGCCCGAGATCACGTGAATTGGAATTTGGAGCAGTGGAAGAAGGTTCTTATTACTGATGAAAGCAGAATGTGTTTGCATGGTGCCGACGGCCGTAATTTTGTTTACCGGCGACCAGGTGAAAGATATGCACCATGCACTATGCGGGAAACAGTGTCATATGGAGGGGGCTCAGTTATGTTTTGGGCAGGATTCTGTTACGAAGCGAAAACCGAGCTTATATTCATAGAAAATGGATCCCTTACAGCCGCTAGGTATATAACGGAGGTTTTAAAAGATCAAGTGATGCCTTTTACTGGGTTCATTGGAGAAGATTTTCTGCTTCTACAAGATAATGCTCGCCCACACACTGCTACATCAGTAAGGCAGTATCTTCAAGAGGTCGGAGTCTCTACTATTGCCTGGCCAGCGCAAAGCCCTGACCTCAATCCGATAGAGCATGTATGGGACCATCTCAAAAGAAAAGTTAGAAGTCGCGTAGTAGTCCCGAGCAACATTCAAGAATTAAAAAGCGCCTTATTGGAAGAATGGGAGTCTATTACACCAGATTATCTAGAAAAGTGTGTCAAATCTCTGAAAACCGATTAAAAGCTGTAATTAAAAATAGAGGCGGTAATACGCATTATTAAAAATCATAAAACCAATCGAAATCTTTTAATTTTCCCATTAATTTGCGGCTAACATTTTTATGCCAAACTCGCGAAAAATCATTAAATTTGATTATCCTCTACCTAGGGTATACAGCTACCCATATATAATAACAAAATTAATAAAAAAATATTATATCTTAAGTTTGTCCATTTTCTCTAGGTGGCCCGATTTTTTTGCACGCCAGTGTAGTTTGATAGCAGTCGCAAATTCACAATGTTGATGAGTGGTAAGTGATGAAAAAGTATCACCTTTGATGTTCTTTGATATTGTATGCCTTAGTAAAACAAACTAAACACTGTCTTTGAACGCTTTTCTCTACGCATTGTGTTTGTTTACCGAGTGTTGGCAGTAAAATCAGACCGTAACATTTTAATAATATTAATAGGTATAGCAAAGACTAACTACTATGCTATTAATATCAGTTGCATTTAAACTAAATTGGTTGTCCTTATTTCTCAAATAAATATATAGTGTAATATAAGGCGTGATTTTTTGTAACCTAAATATTGTAAAAAATATATTATTATTATTATTATAGAATTTACTCATATGATTATATGAACGATATAGGAATACCGTGCAAATCAAATCAAAACATACTTTATTCAAACGAACTTTTATAAGCACGTTTGAATCGTCGATTTTTACTTTTTTTAAAAGGCAATTCTGCTGAGAAGAACCGGCGAGAATTCAACAGTTGTTTTAAAATAATATTTCCGTATATGTAATATTGCAATAAAAATATTATTATTATCTACTTATCCTACATCCCCCACATTGACAACTACAAAGTATTCCGTGATGGTGTAATAAGCTTTATTTAATAATATTTTTTATCTGAGACTTAAATTGTTTTAATGGTAGGCTCAAGATCAATTGTGGAATTTTATCATACAAATACAAGCGATGTGCTTATCAACGAACCGCATTTTATTTAAATACTAGCATTGCCCGCGGCTCCGCCCGCGTTCAGATGACCAAAAACCAAATTCTTAGGTTTTACATACTAGTATACTCTTACAGTGCAGTTTTTGTATTTTTTCTCAGAAAAGAGATATTTTCCCGCGGTAAAAAGTATCCTATATTATGTTGACCTGGATAACCAGCTATCATCATACAAAATTTAATCAAAATCTGTCCAGTGGTTTTCTCGTGATGCGGTAACAGACAGACGGACAGACAAAAATTCTAAAAATTATAGATTCGGACTCTGTATCGATAATAATGTCTATTTCAATTAGATTTTCCAAAAAATATTTAATGTATAGATTCAACTTATTACAATTTTATTATATGTATAGATTATAGCTAAGTTAACATTTTTCACAGTATTATTTACTGTGGATAAATAAAGTATATAAATAAAGTACCGGGACGACAAAATGTTTATATGCAGAGTATAAGTATGCGTTAAAATTTCGTTATAATAGTAGGGAAGTAACCCTTGCCTTATACCACATTATTAGTTTCTTATTTTTTCAGGACAAAGTGAAACAAGAGTCCTGCGAGATAGGGATGGAAAATATTTTTTTTTAATATGCAGCAAATACTGCCATAGATTTTATTGACAGTGAAATATATGAAATAAACTTCACACAACGCCCCGGGCACACAATTATATTCATACCTAATAAAAAAAATGTGCTTAGGTATAGCTCTGAGACTCCATAATTAAGTAGTTACGGAAAAACCATTAGTCACAAAGTAGTTAGCTTGACATTAACATTGTTAAGTATAATGTGTAGTAAATGTAATATAGCATATTTACTCTTGACATTCCTAATCTTTTAAGATTTAAATGTTATTTAAAGAGTGAACAAAACTAGTGCCGAATGATCATTTTCTGATTTGTTTAATCAGATAAGAACAGTATTTAGCATATTTATGGTTATCGTAGCTTCTTTAGGTTACCTAGAAAGAAGATAATATGGACATCAATTTTCTCTAATATGCTTTTGCTTGCATGCATATGCATGCATAAATAAATATCAAAATACTTCAATCTTGATCTCTTTAAGATTATAGATCATTAGTAAATCACAAAAACTATTTGAATAATGGTTCAATTTTATGAAGATTATATCATCCATGTCCAATCCCCTTTTTTTTAATATACACACTTAAATACAGTATACTAAGATATTTGATAAACACATAAGTGGTATTAATTATAGAATTCAATCATAATTAATAGTCTAATTTTTATTGGCTATTACCCTGCTAGAATATATTAAGAGATTTTCATATTTTTGAAAGTACTTTGTTATTTAAAACATTACCAAACTACTTAGGTATTTTCTAAGAAATTACTTATAATTCTTTTGTCAATTTACGTAGTTTTATTATTTTAATATACTTTTTATCTAAAAAAGATAAGCCAGCTCAAAAATTTCTTAAAGGTTTAATTAAGGTTTATACTGGCTTTGTGGTTGGTTTTTTTTCATTTATATGAGTCCACCTTGAGATAAAACCACCATGAAATAAATTCACAATTGGCAAAGATGCCGCATAACATATACACAAAAAACATCTGCATTAAGTACTTACTTCAATTTTGATCTTGGTAAAAAGAATATTTTAATACATTAAAATAAATTTAGTATGACAATAACAATTTCAATAAATACCTTCATAGTCAGGTTGGCTTCTCTTCTAATGATGCTGACATGATGCCATTGTGTGTCATTAAGATAAGTGCCTTTTGATGAAGAGAGTTCACTTTCTCCAGCACCAAGATTTATATGTAATTTAAGTTTTCCACTTTCCAATCGAATCTAAACAATAATTTAGCTAATTTAGGTCTTGTATTAAATTTATTGTATTTTCCATTGATGTAAGTGTAATTATATATGTTAAAAACTAAATAAATTAATCAAGTAAGACAATTTAGTAGTAAAAAATATTACACACCATGCAATAATCAGTTTTTCCTGCAGCAAGCAATAGAAGAGCATCTGATAAATGTGTACGAAACCTAAAACTTATGTCTGTAACTCCCTTGGCTTCTTGAAGTGGGTATGAAATATAACTTGCACCATAAAAGGAGGCTAAAACCAAACAAGGAATTTAAGAGTTGGTTACTTTTTACAATTTATAATAATAAAAAATACAAAAGCTAAATTTTCCCTAAGTTTACCTTTATCATAAGCGAGTCCAAATGAAACGAGACACAATATAAACAAAAGTTCCATCTTTAAGATGAGAAAGTACTAATAAAATCCAACACAATTGCACTCAAATAAAATAAACGAAAATCTTTAATTTTATTTTTCCGTTCTTACTATAAAAATTAGCTCCAGGCATCTTTCAAATCAACACAGGTCGCAGGTGTGGCGTCTATTTAAAAAAAAAACAATTTAGAATATAAACTGAAAATATCTTCTCGTATATATACTTATTTTGTACTATATTTTACCACACTTCACTTCACAGATTTTTTTTTATTATCTAAAAATATTTAAATTTTCTTATTTAAATTAAAAAACAGAGTAAGTACAGTTTAAATTTGGAAAACAAAATTACAATACCGTCCACTAATCCACACGTCAATAAAGTAACATGGCCGAAGCTCGCAATTTGACACTTAGCCACAGACTTTATCACATTAAAGATTATCTAAAAAGATATACATGAATAAAGAGTTTGGATCTTAAATACACATAAAATTCAAGTTTTGATTCAAGCTCAAAGAAATATTGCTTGGAACTTTATTGGAACCCCTTCCAATCATCATAGAAAAAAATAGTACCTACTCACGATCTTGTACGTGTTTAGAGCGCTTTGAAGGATTTATTATAACGAAGTTCCATATTAAACCAATCGGAATCCGTTTATTTTTAAAAACTTGATTTTTTATTGTAAGTAGGTGTATAAGGATATAGAAATATCGAAAAATGACCCCGATGCCCAGATCCTCCGCTTGGCGCAAAGCGTTAAAAAGTAGTTTTTTTTTCAATTTCCGGCTTACTGTGACGTACGATCGAAAATTTTTTTCCACAAAAGTTGTAGGTCTAGTAAAAATCTACAACTTTTATAAATAACACTTTTTACAGTAGCCTCAAAGTTTTCGAGATAGGTTTTTGCAGAAAACTCGGTTGTTTAACTTTTTTGGTTTCTTGTTCTTAATTTCTAGAATAATCTTTTGATTTTTATGAAACTAAGGGAATGTTATCTTCGAAATACATTCTTCTTCTTCTTCCTGCGCATTTCCCAAGACACTTGGGGTCGGCGCAGTAAGTCTTCCTCTTCCATTCTCCCCTATTACTCGTTTCACCCCTTTCTCTTTCATGTCTTGTCACACACAATCTATCCATCTTTTCTTCGGTCTTCCTCTACCTTTCCATCCATCTACATTCATTTCCATCACTCTTCTCGACACATATGTTTCGCCCCTCCGCTTCACATGCCCATTCCAATTTAGACGATTGCCTTTCGACTTCTTTGTCACTGGTGCTATTTTAAGCTTCCTCTTATGCGCTAATTCCTTATTTTATCCATTCTCGTCACTCCACACATCCATCTTAACATTCTGATCTCTGCATTTGTAATACATAATACATTGTTTTATTATTGACTTCAACCAATTCTTCAATCAATCCCTGCTTTCATGTCAACATGTCTGCTTGTAACCTCAGAAGTGATTCGTAGTTTGATTCGTACGTCGTTTTGATTTGAAGTAGGGCCCATTTTTCGTGTGAAATTTGTTCTGAATTAGACTTCCTGACCTATTATTTATTCGTAGATTATTACTTACTTTTACTACTTTTTAAGATTCTGTAGGCCAAAGGCAAAAACGGGACCTTACTTGTATTCAGCACTTTTTAACGTCCGACTGCTGAGCACGGGTTTCCTTTCAATAGAAAGGAGATCAGGCCACAGTCCACCACGCTGGCCAAGTGCGGGTTGGCGAACTGCACATGTCTTTCGAAAACTTGTAAGTTTCTCTCAGACATGCAAGTTTCCTCAGGATGTTTTTCTTCACCGTAAGACAAGTGGTAATCATGTTGGAAATGATTCGCACATGAAAATATCAGAGATGCAAGACCCTAGATTTGAACCCGCTTAACTCGGTTTCCCAAGCGAGCACGTTACCACTGGGCTAGCACTGCCTTACTTATCTATAGAAAAAAAATCTTTAAATATCGAAAGACATCTATAATGAAAAATTAAGTCTGTAATGGTTAAAACCCCGTTTTATAATTTCTTTTTTGTACACCCGCAGCTGCAATAAATAGGTACTTATTAATTAAGAATACAACGATCATTCATTATCGTGAACTTTTCATTATGCCTATTTAGAAAAACATCAAAGTGCGAAAGCCCTTTCAAATCAATCAAATTTGTTTTTGAAAATATAAAACCTTTTCGTTAATAGTTTGTCAAAAATAAAAAAATAACTTGTATTCTGCTCATTTAAGGAATACGAATCTATATCAATATAATATTCCAAGCATTTAACAGGAACATAATATAATTATTGGAAAAACATATTAGTAAAATGTTTAGCTTTCGTAAAGTTATAGCGAGTGCAGTGGGTGCTCGTAATCTTATTAAAAGAGTGAACCGAGAGATTCCTATCAAAAACACAAAATTTTCCTATTCTGACGAAACGACACAGCCCTTCGATAACTTACCATTCCGCGTTAGTAATAGGTAAAGGTTTTTTCCGTTTTTCTAAGATAGGTAATTATTGTACTTAGGTGATATTGTGATGAATTTGTTTCAGATATACGCTAACTTTAGTATTTTCACTATTATTTGGTGTTGGTTTATGGGCACCTTTTCTGATTGTTTGGTATTCAATGGCTAAAAGAACTATGTAAACACCAATAAGGATGACTTTAGAATTATAATGTTTGTACTCAAATAATATACTTACTAAACTTATGAATACCAATGGGCATTATTTATCAACAAAACATTTTCCTTTAAATTTATAAATTAAAATTATGAAATATATACATTTTCTTTTATTTATTTTTTCTATACGTATGCAATTTCATTTTATAATGAAATAGCTTTTTCACTCTTGTCATCAATCTATTATTTATACTTGCCAGCTGCCAGGCCAGTGCCAATATACCTATGTATATTGTACTGGTTAGTGGGAAAAATAGTAAATAATAAAAAGTGTCGTGTTGGTACAAATTTTACACATTTTTTTACATAAAGGAGTCTGCCCACTAGACCGTATCAACCACGTATCATCCACGTGTCATATTCGTATGGTTCCAGTTTTCTCAGTCGTAATATTTATCTGTGCTTTCGCGCGAGGCAGCGAGTAGAGAATTTGCAATGTAGTCGTTGTTTTAGACGAGGAAGAATGAAAAAAGATAGTAGTAGATAGTAGATCACGACGTTATTGCATTTACGACGCATTAAAAAAATATAATTTAAAAGAAAATTATCACTAGAAGACTAGACTAAGACAAGGCTTAGAACTATCATCATATGCGGTTATAACTCGTTTCGCCACCTGTGCGCACCGGGTCGGTAACGTCGCGTGCCGCACGGAGCGTAGCGTACCGGTATCGGCAAAATATTCTCGCCGACAATTGTTAACGCTCCGTGCATGGCACGCGATGGTGCCGGTCGTTGACGGAACGGTCTAGTGGGCACACTCTTATACTTTTCAATACAAAGTATATTTTTTTCCCATCACAGTCCTAGCACGGTCATGATATGAGACGGTGTAGTGCTCGCATTCGGTAAGTGTGCCGATCGTAACGTGCGATATAGTCCAATCGGAATCCGATTTGGAAACAAAATATTGAAAACCTGAAGTTTTATGACTTTAAAATGTTAGCAGGTATATAAGGAATAGAAATTCGTAAAATGCCCCCGATGCCCAGCTACCCCCGAGAAATGGGGGGACGGGATTTTTTTCATTTTCTGGCTTACAACACGGCGTACAAGTACTTTATATATAACGCATTTAAGATGTCTAAAACCTTACTCCTTAGTCTCGTCTCTCCCGTGACCATGATTGCTGTAAAGCATTCGAAACTTCGGGAACCAAAAATCAAAATAAATCGGCGAAATAAATCGATAAGATAGTTTTATTAAAATGTCAAATATTACATGAATTGCTCATTTAAAGATATAAGATAGATATCTGTTTTCCTCATATTAAATGGTTTAAATTGTATCCTGAACTCTAGATTGTTAGTAGAGAATATAATATCATGAGGCTAGCTCAAAATCAGAACATAATCATCTAATCATGCATAGCATTTCTATATAGTTTGTGATCTAATTTCTGTGCTATGCCTATTACTGTATTTAATTTCGATAAATGAATTTTCAAAATTAATCATTTCTTATTACTATCTATAGACTTATAACTTATTGTTAGTGACTAATACATATATATACATTGTATATACATTGTATAAGCCTTAATTTAGCAAGAATTAGATAATATGCAACATCTTACATACTTCTTGTCCTTTATATCGAGGATGATATTTATATTAGTACTCTCAGAAGTGAATCAATGTCTTCTTAAGAAAATATTATGCTAATGCTTTCATGCAATAATTTTATGAGAATCTTTAACTGTTATGGCACCAAAATTCTTAACAACATTTAAAAAGACGAACCTTCACTCTCTTCATGGGAAGCACTGTTTGGTGGGCTTTGTAAATGACAATCTTAACAAAATCCAGACATGAACTATACAAACAACATGACCTACCTAAAACCTGGCAATCCAATCAATGGTATCATAATAATTATTCTAGGACCAGTTTTGAACCAATCCTGGAACCAAGATTGTGTCCGTTGTTGTATTAAAAGGTGGGATAAGTGTAGGCTATTTATTTAATCTTTCTTTTTAATAATACATAATTATTTTAAATCTTTATGTAAAGTACAATTATCATTTCTGTATTAAGAATAAATGCAATGAGTTTATACATCACTGCCTTTTAAGAATTCTTGTTATTATAAAATTAGCTTACATATATGTATAATATGTATACATTATTACTATGTATGTCTATAAATATATCATTGCATACATAAGTTCAGTTATTTTTTTTTAAAGAAATAGGTAATGTTCTAATCTGGTGTTTTGACTTGTCTGTAAAAATCACCTTTGCATATCTCTAGTTCTATTGTTTGAGCAATATCATAATGCATATAAGTAATGTATGTGTGCAATAAAAATATTATAATAGCAAGTGTTTTT